TTGAATTTATAAAGTGTATTTAATGTACAACGTCAAAATGTCAGAAATACGTTTTTCTTTAAAATAAAAAAAATTTATCTTCCAAAAATAACACACCTAAAAAGACAGTTTAATGAAAAAGTTGATTGTTCTACATACCGGATATATAGCGAGTGAAAATGCATTTCAAAGTAATTAATTTCTCTTCACACTTTTTGTAATTTCATGAAAGTAAGAAATACTTATTCTGGTGTCTGGCTTGAAATTTAGGAATATAAATACAAGTTGTAAATATGAATTGAAATTTCTCATTGTTTTTTTCTTAGATTTTCAAAAAAACTAATCGATTAGCCTGTATTTGTGTATCAAATATAGGTGTAAATCTAGGCAATATGGTGATGGAGTCCATCATAGCTTAAAAAAATTTAGAGAGCGGCCATTTTACCACTTTTATAATACCTTTCGTGCCAATAAATGGTTCTCACAATCACTTTGTTTAAAACATTCATGTAAATCGACAGAATTTAGGATGTTCAATAATCTTGTCACCGTCTCATATCATTCGTTGTTTCAACTCTAAATTATTTGTACATTTATAAAGATATCAAGAAACATAATTTCAGTTTTTTTTAATAACCACTAATATGAAGTTAAAAAGCAACTCCATTAGATGGTCGTTCATTTTTATTATGATTCTTCAAAAAATATTATCAAACACAGAATGGTAAACAATATGAGACTCACCGTAAATGCTCATTTATTTCTACGCTCACGTTTGTGAAAGACAAAAAGTGAGAAAAATATAATCAATGAAAAATATTCTTTAACAATTTAGTAGATTTACATGTTGGAAGAAGAGAAAACATGATTTAAAGTAAGATGTGAAAGTTGTAGAGTACTGCTAGAAGGTTAGGAATGAATACATCCGCATTATTGTTACTGATCTTGAGTTACACCACCCAATCTCTCTGATTACACATTACGGTTGTGCTTCATTGCCTAATGGGAAGACTGTGTTTCCCTACAGGACCATAACAAGAGGTTAGTAATTTCATGAACTACTGATGTTGTGACTTGGTTCAGTCAACAAAGGCCCTTTCACAATCTGCATGAAGTCTAGCTCGTAGAAAAGACCACGGAAATCATGTTTAACTAAATCAAAAGTAACAAAAGCGAATTTCGAGGAGATTTCGCAGTTGTAAATGCATCAAAATACCGTAGGAAGTCAGTCGAAACCCGAATAGCTCATTGGTAATTTCTCTGACTGCAAAGCTACGTGACACTAGATTGAATTTGTCAGAGAAAATAAATTTCTTCAGGATTGCAGTTACACCTTGCTGACGAGTGTCAAATGGCGAAACTTATGTTCGTGGTTTCTTGTCAACCATCTTCAACCACCACCTACCTTACATGATAATGCCTTTTCTTCTCCTTAAAGAACTTTCAGTGTGATACTTTGTTTCATTTTTAGGTTGTTTTACTGGCGTTCTGTATATCTCTCAAAAATCTTAATTAGAGACTGGTTAGCACAAACACCAAATGAACTTAAATTTGTTTCTATTTTTATTCATCTACTAAGATATAACAGGAACTTTATGCCGATACTAATACTATTTTTTACACAGCTGATTCTCTATAAAAATTTAAATATGTCAAGAAAGATATTCATATATACAAAGTTATCGTAAAAACAAAGTTGGTTCTCCATTTTCATAATGAATCTTTGCGTAAAAAATTTAAAAGTAATCGAAAAGTAAAATTCCAAATTCACAGTATTTTAGCATTATTTTAAAAGGTTCACCATTATCTACGACTTTCAGACAATAAGCATTAAACCGGCAATTGACCATCATATTTTCATTTGATTGACAATTGTAATATCATAGATAAATATTAATTATTTAAACATTAATTGATAACGATCTATATACATATTAACTTACAAGTTGGGATGCTTTTTTTACGTTTTTTCCGTGTTTACTTGTTTATCTGTTTAATCTCTTTTCACTTCCTTCCTCCCGTTGCTTCTTCTCTTTCCCTTTCATTTTTAATGTTTTTCTCGTTTTGCCTTATAAATGTTTTTGTCATAAAAAAGATTACCACTCAACTTGTACATTTAAGGTATGGTAAATATACAGAGGGAGACGGAGAATCATAATGAATGTATTTATGTATAATTAATAAATCCCTATCATTACAGACCACAAAATCAGTTGTTCATCGGCTGTTCAATAAGTATCATGTTACAAAATGATAAAGAATTATTTTATTGGAAATACAAGCCGACTTAAGTAGAATAATCGTTGGATACCAAGGGACACTAGGGAATCTCTAAAAATCACTATACTGAAGTTTATCATCTCCTTACTTGTGATTTATTTCCACAGGTGGTTCCAGGAGTTCTGATGAAAAGTTGTGACTAGAGGTGTTTAACTGTGTTAGACGTAAGAGTTACCCACCGAAGACAGTGGAATATCACATACGTTGAATCCGCACACTATCAGGTGACGTTTTGGTGATCTCAAGGTTAAGCGTTTACTGAGAAACCTGAGGATCGTAATTTCAACCAGTGGAGGGGTTGCGGAGGTCCACTGCTCAGGAATCCTATGCTAGAACAAAGTATTAAGTCAGTCTCTTCTGGTTTTAATAGTTTATCCAACATGAGTTGGTTCAACAATCTCCACAAATCCCAACCCTGAAAAAATTATTTTTCTGTCTTTGAACATCTCTATCTGTCATAAAATAATATACGACAATGATGAGAGTAAAATCCATACATAAAATGATGTATTTATTTAGAACAGTTGTCGTACTTTGTAGGATGAATAAAATTTTATTCTGCCATCAAATTTTTACCCTCTTCCTTATATCTGCGAGTCATAGTGTTTCTCTTGCTTTTAGTACCAGTTTTCGGAAGCAATACTGTATCATTGAAACACAATTTATTCCAGCAACTGATTACACAAAAATAAAAACTAAACGTCAATGATCACGTAACGGTCGTTTTGCCCAAGTATGCAATTCTTCAACAGCATGGATGCATTATCTTACCAAGGTCCGAAACATTCAAGCCCTATATCCAGCTAGTTACTTTGAGACCACCTAGAAAGAATTAAATATTTTACACTTTCAGTTTCAATCAATCGGCGATATTTCCGAAGTACGATCTATCCTCGTTCTGGTAATCTTATTTCCGTAAGTCGACTGAAGTAAAACGTGCAAATGTTGGGTATCAGCTCATTTTCCCAGGAGTTCAACGCTTTCCGCTCCTGAAGAGCCCCACACTAGGACGAAACAGATGTCAAGTGCTTACTAGTTTTCAGGGGTTGTTTGACTATTTTTGAACCGTAATGTAAACTTAAAAATATTTTTTCAATCAAACTGTTCTCAGACTATTCTGACATTGGAGTATTTGAGAAAATTATTCTCAAAAAGTCTTCACAAAACTACAACAGAAAAATTTCAGTTTCCTTATCATCATATTTATACCAATGATTTAAAGAAAAATCAGTTTTTAAGTTAATCAAAACAGCAGAATAGATTTGAATGCGTCTGAACACCTACTGAAAAAAGGGATAAATAAGCGACCTGCTTCAACAAATCATGTTTTGATTTTTAGTGTTGCCTAAGTGATATTAACTAGAAAACAAAATTCATCTGTCTTCTGTTTAATAATTAATTACCTGGTAATATTAAATAGTTTGTTTTCTGACCCTTGGTATTAACAAAATTCCATCAGCTTATGAAACTGGCTCTAATTTGGTGAGTAATCACCGTATGTTAGCTGAACAATATGTCACACAAGACCAGAATGACGTAGTTGTAAAGACTTTGTACCTAAATTACAAAGTTTTGAATCTTAAGAAGAATTTAAGTTTCTTTGAGCTTTCCAAAACGTTTTGAATGTCATTCAGTGTCTGTAGAATCATGAACAAATCGACGTAGATAATATCTTTCATTTATTCCCGATTTGTTATATAAACATAGAATCTACGTTAGAAATATTTAGTCTAATTCGAATAATTTAATTCAATATTTTTAAATAACTATAGTCTTTTGTTGCAGTGATCTGAAATCACCGTTTATGTTTATCAAGTTAGCCACTATATGATAAAGATGAATTCACTATATTCTTGTAAAGCAAATTATTGGAAAATTAAATCTACATTCATTTATTTCAAACCTACCTACTAATAATTTCATTAGGTAAATTCAGATTTCAATCGCATGAGTAATTATTCCCGTGCAACTTACTAATATTAATATAGGCTTAATCTGATAACTTGCACTTAAATCAAAAAGATAAAATAAAATCTCGAAATAAAGATCTTTTTAAATTTTAGAAGCAATTACTTGGAATTATGTCAAAAACATAATTCCATTATGAATTGATTTTATATAAACTACTATGAAATTAGATAAATTTTTTATTATTATTAGGAGTTAGACTTCAAATCTACTCGGCTGTATAAATAAAGCTACTTCCCGATAATATTCCAGGGAAATGGTTTCACATCAAGTACCAAAGAGAGTAGGAATTCTTACTTACTGATTGTCAACTTAGTGACATGGTAATAGTAATATTAATAACAATATATATATTTACATGCTTGGATAATGATAAACCTTCTATGTAATCATATGATGTACATCTTTCTGTTAGGCTACATATCAGAACAACATAACTTACTTAAACTTAATTGTTAGTTGGCTGACATGTATAAGTGAATTATTCGAAGTGATCTTGAACATGTTAATTTGATAATACTTCATTTACTCTTAGTTAAAATAAGCTTTGAAATGTATATTTAAAAAAAAAATTTTCCTTTACCATTGAATGTATTTGTGCATAAGTATTCATAGATATCCAATCTGAATCAAAGTTCACAGTTTTACATATATTATTGACTTATTGATTATTTCAAATTTAAAAATGAGTCGATATATATACCAACATTGAAATATCCCATATTTCGTTAAAATAATTTTAAAGAATACAAATCAACTTGATTTTTTTTTAAATGCTTTTGAAAACCATTATTTTAATTTATGGATTGATTATTATACTAATTTATCGAGAAGGAAATACTTTGAATTATTTATCACAGGAATGTGATAGTAAATCAGAATGGGGCCCATGGCGTTGCCCTGGTATAGGAACAAAATGTACTGCTAACATTGCAACACGTTATAAATGCATCGGTGGAAATTGTACAAGTGATAGTCTATGTGCTAAACTTGAAAATCATACTGTAAGTAATAAATGTTGGTTATATATATATATATATATATATATATATGTTGTATTCGAGGATCTTACTTTTTCCTTTGTGTATGTTGAGGCCTATTGACACAGAGGCTGCTGCTAAACTAGTTGTCTTCATCTGCACTTGTTTGTGTGTATGGGATAGAAGGGCCAGGTCATCTTCTGATTGATTCCGAGCTGTCCATTGTATTCCGTGCTTCCTTTCCGATACCGAGGTCTTCATAATCCGGTCAATCACCAGATGAAAGAGATGGGGGGAGAGTAAGCAGCTTTGTCTGACTTCAGGTCCTCACTTGGAATGCATCTGTCAGCTGTCCTCCATGCACCACGTTGCAATGAATTCCGGGTGATGTTGACTATCGTTTCAGGTACACCATAGTGTCGAAGAAGTTTCCATAATGTTCTCCTGTCCACACTATCAAAAGCTTTCTCATAGTCAATGAAGTTGATATATAGTGACGAGTTTCATTCAACTGATTGTTCAACGATGATCCGTAGTGTCGCGAATCGGTCTGTGTACGACCGATCCTTACGGGATCCGGTCTGCTGGTCTCGAAGTTGGATGTTTGCTGAATCCTCCATCCAGTTCAGCAACACTCTGTTGAAAGCCATTTCCAGTACTGACAGTAGTATGATTCCTCTGTAGTTCTCACATTTGCTCAGATCTCCTTACTTTGTTATCTTGATGAGATGCCCTGCATTCCAGTTTGTCAGTGGCACTTGTTCTTCCTCCCAAATCTTCCCGAATAGAACATGGAGCATGTTTGCAGTTACTTCCATATCTGACTTCAGAGCTTCGGGTGGTATATTATCAGGTTGTGCTGCTTTTCCACTTTTCACTTGACTAATGGCCATCCCGGTTTCTTCGATCGTTGATGTGCTGCTTTGATGTCAGGCGAGTTCATTGGAGCTAGCCTGTTCAAGAGTTCCTGAAAGCGTTTTACCCATCTAACCCTTTGTTTTGAATCTCGGTGATTGTCTTACCTTCTTTGTCCTTGACCGGTCTCTCTGGTTTACTATATTACTCTGTCAGTTTCTTCGTTGTGTCATATAGCTGTTTCAAAGTTCCTTCTCTTGCAGCTTTCTCCACTGTCGTTGCTAGGTCTCCCACATATTTCTGCTTGTCGGCCCTGATGCTCCTCTTCACCCGCTTGTTTGCTTCAGTGTATTCAACTTGCGTCTTGAATCTCTCTGCTCTTGTTCTGCTGTTGTTAGATGCTGTCTTCGTGTTCTTTCATTGTTGAATCTTGTCCAAGCGTTCGATGCGTCGAAGTTCGTGCTTCTTTGATCTCTCTCTCTCTGATAGTCCTCCATCGTAGTTTCTTCTTTCAGTAGATCCTGCAACGTTTGGAACCTGTTGCTGCGAGTTGTCTTGAATTGGTTGAATTTGTTAGTATCTCGAAAGAAGGCTATATTGAACGTTTGTACTGTTTCTTCCCCAGTTGTCCAGTGTTTTTTTACATTCAATTTCATCTTGCCCACAACCAGGTGGTAATCTGAAGCTAAGTCAGCTCCTCTCCTGGTTCTCACGTCTTCCATTGTCCTTCTGAATTTTCTATTGATACAAATATGATCTATCTGGTTCTCCGTGGTGTGATCAGGTAAGACTCACGTAGCCTTGTGTATGCGTTTGTGTGGGAATATTGTGCTGCCTATAACCATTTAGTTGAATGCACATGGATTTTCAAATCTCTCCCCATTTTCGTTTCTCTCTCCCAGTCCATATCGTCCCATGATACATTCATAAACGTTGTTGTCCATTCCAACTTTAGTGTTTAGGTCTCCCATCAGAATTTTCAGGTCCTTTCCTGTGCACTTCACTATGATCGATTACAGCCTCTCGTAAAATTGATCTTTATCGTCTTCAATGCTATCGTTGGTGGGTGCATAACATTGGATAACATTCATCGTGATTCCCTCCTTTTTTCTTCTCAATGATGCTTTGATGATCCTGGATCCATGATATTCTCTTCCTATAAATGCTTCGCGTGCTTCTTTGTACAACATTAGAGCAACTCCCTGAGTGTGTGGAGCATTGTTCTCTTCGTGACCGGAGTACATCAGCATCTCTCCTGTACCTAACCTTTACTGTCCAGCTTGGGTCCAATGGGTTTCGTTTACTGATCCCGAGAACCGCCAACTTTTACCTCCCTATTTCTACAGCTATTTTGATGGTCCTCCCGGTCTCCCACATTGTTTGGACGTTCCGTGCACCTATGTCTGTTGCTGCTGTGATTGTTAGAAGGGGAATCGGCCTCGTGAATTCCGAATAATTTCGGCTTTCATCATGAGGTGTTACAATCCTTCCTTTAACTCCCAGGATAGAGTTTCAATGGTTTAATTTATTTAGTCTGGTTAGCGTCTTTTAGAAAGGTTGTTTTCTTCAGAGTGAGGTTGTCGAGTCCACGACCAGCTCTCCTCCTTTGTGTGGGCTTGGGACCGGCAGTAGACCTAAAAGAGCTATGGATGGAGTTTAAGATTTATCCAAGACGTTCACTTAATCCAGATTCAGAGAGATAAGGATATTTTATCAGACACTTTTAAATAAATTACTGCTCAGTAACTTTATGGTAAGTATCAAAATAAGTGTTTACAATATTCACTATATATATATAAGAATTCTCTTTTTTATTCACAATCAACACGGAGTCTAGCATAAATGTAAGTTGTCTCATGTTGACATACCACATCAGTTCAGAGATGTGAAATTAACATATGGAGTAGCAAAGGAATCGTAATAGTTATATTACTATTGATAGTGAGAAAAATTTGACATTGGAGTAAATGGTTCAAAATGACGGAATAGAAAAGTTTGTGTGAAGTACTCAGACAATAAGTTGTCTCTTGATTGAAACCGAATAATTGGCATTAATAATACGAACTGATAATCGACGGATATAAATGCAACCCAACCGGTTCTCGTACTCAAGATCCCTAGGTCCCACGGTGTGAGCTTAACCTTTAGACTGCTGAACTAGAATCTAGTGGTGTACATGTTCAACTACAATCAATTCGCGCTACTGAAAAACCATCCTTCATTGTCTTCGATGGACAAGTGCCTCACATCCAATATGGTGGAAGTGCACCATTCACGGTTTTTCACTATTCTTTCAAGAATTTCTCCTCAGAATTAGTCGCTAGTGAGAACATGATTACTAGTAGTATATGGAGTTTTTGAAGACTATTTAGTGTAAACACTACATAACAGACTGGCTAGACAAATATACATGTATTCAGTAGTTGAATTCTAAATTCATATCATGATGTAGTATTTGTATCAACCATTAAATGCTTCGTATGTATTCGGTCGTTTCTACCATATCCAATAACATACAGTACAATGTGTCTTTACAGTCTTCTCCTATTCTGATGTCCATGTTGATTTATAACTACTGAAGTACATTTTGTACGTATTCATTAAAAATTGTAAGAATTACTAGTGTAATTTCACTCAATGATAAATGTTTCAGTAATACCCTTAATATAGTTGCTTTTACACCTACCAATATATTAACAGTACACTTTTTCGTATTATTATTAATCAAGCAATCAGATTCCTGCGTAAAAGTTCTTCAACGTGGTGAATGTGAACCTTGGTGGACCAACTGGTCATCGTGGTCTAAATGTACAACAACTTGTAGATTCCATGAAAAACATCGTTCCCGGTTTTGTACAGGAGCTTTTAATTATAATAGTTACAAATTTAAGGTAAAAGATTCAATTTTAAAATCTTGTGCATCTATCGAAAGAATACACGAAGGAGTTGAAAAAGTCTCTTGTCCTGTAAGTCGCCTATGTTCAGCTATTAATGGTGGTTGGAGTCAATGGAGTGAATTCACTGAATGTTCTGTTACATGTGGCATAGGAAAACGTGTTCGACGTCGTCACTGTGATCATCCTAGACCACAAGAAGGTGGATTATACTGCATAGGAACTGACCACCAAGAGGTAATTAATCATTTTTCTCAATTATGTCAATTTCATTCTAAATGAACTAACTGTTGTCAATTTTGTAAGTGATATAGTATAAACTATATGATCAGGAGAGGCTATTGTCTACAAAATTTAATGTTGTTACTATAATTAAATATACTGACAAAATTTAATATTCTAAAATTCTGTTATAGTATTTTGCAAATCAATATCATGTTAATTTTAACAACATTGATCCACACGTAGAACAAAATATTAACTGAAGATATCTTTTGTTGCAGACTGACATTAGATATAAGACTACTGAAAAGGATCACTAGGGAACTTTTTTACATTAGATTAAGACCCCACACTAGAATCCATTCACTATCCTACACAGAATCCAACTCAGGACAAGTGTAGCTCACGTACGGAGTCTGTTAGTGTTAGGCCAATGGTCAAAATCCAACGGTTCACTCTTTTAACGTCACCCATTTCGTACCATCAGGGTGCTTGGTACCTGTGTGGTTGCGCCACAGGATTGAGCTGTACTATCCAGATTATAGCGCTAAAGCCTATATGGTATCTGGTTCTCCTGTAAAGCGAGATTTGGCTGTACTGCTCGGGTTATAAAGTTTAAGCCTGAGCGGTGTCTGTCTCTCTTGCGGAACAGAATTGAGCTGTACTGTTTGGGTTGTCACGTGAAAGTCTGGATAGTGTCCGTTTCTTTTGGAAAATAATGTAAAATTACCCTAGCCCACAAGCGTACCTAACTGTGAACTTTGCTCCATAGAGTAAAATTTATCAAATGTCATTGAAGTTTGTTTGTTTTTTCAAAAAAGTCAGTTATATAAGGAACAAAATGAATAGGATTTACTTCCATAAAATCTTAAATAGAATATTGGTTTATTCAACTGACTGTATGCTTTCTAAGGGTGGAAAGAATTAAATTACCTTATTTCTTTAAATTTAACTGTTATCCGATTCTATCTTTAATGATTCTCCATGTATATCTCATATTTCATTCAAGCTCTTTGCGAGTAAACTAAACTGTTTACGTAGAAAAAGTGTCAAGTGATGGATAACGTTAAACGTCCAGTGTATCCAACTTAATGTAATTAAAATAGTGTTTATTGAATCAACTAACAATTGCTAGAAAAAATAAACAACTTAGAACAATTACTCTTTTCGATAAATTTGGATAACATAATATGAAGACAAAGATTACTAAAGATCTGAAAATCTGCATCCTCTTAAATAAATAATTTAGATATTCTCCAAACACACAATACATATTCATAACAATCTAGTCTCCATGACGTCATTCACTTCAAGTTCACAGATCATAAAGTACTTCATATATATTTCGATCTAATTCAGCTGTGAGTTTTCTTTTTTCCTTTTCAAATGCAACGTCAACATTGCATACTATTTATTTCCATGACAGCATTACTAAAATTATCTGTGAATTAATGCAGATGGATGCAACTGGCTCATCTAGTTCGAAGAGCGTAATGCTACTTAAACTAACTAAACATAATATTATTCCTGGTATCTATACTGGTTTACATAATTTTTATTCTAGTGATAACAACCCATCATTTTTCAATATTATTTGCTTTTACTAAGATATCTTACTGATATGAACCTCTCAATCCTTTACTTTTAATATCCATAGGTGCTTCGTGATGATTGAAAATTTTCAAGACATGTTTTGTATTAAGCTCATTAGTTTACAACTGTAAAAAAGGATAAGAAGATTACTTAAGTTTTACTATGCTTTCCGTGTATTAAATTGAGTTCTTTTGAAATTTTTTCATCAGAATTTTCCGTTTTAGTATAGAAATTTTTATAAACAGGTATTCTGTGAAGGTTATTTACCGTGCCCACGAAAAGGACAGTGGTGCTCTTGGTCACCAATCATTCAACATTGCACACGTAATTGTGGACCACGTGGGATGGGATTAAGATTACGCCAGTGTGCTTGCCCGAAGCCGTCGCAAGATGGTGAAGACTGTGAAATACCACCAGAAACAGCAGAAATGGCAGTTAATCTATTAGTTAATAACACTACTGACGCTCCAACGGGATCTGCACTTGAAGCAATACTTAAAGGTGAAGGATTATGGGAACCATGCAACCGTCATCATTGTTCATATTTAAAAACATTAAATACTGAAGAAGATTTATTATTGTTGGAGGATTTAAATCTTCAAAGAGCAGAAGATGCCTGGATATCATCAGGTGGTCTACCACAGAGAATTCATGGTCCCTTAAAACTTTTCTGTCCATCATCACGTAATTCTCGTAAGAAAATATTCGATAAATCTGAACGCTTTCCAAAATCCAAGTTTTACTGGACTCGTTCAATTCCCACTTCTTCAAAAGAACCCTATTATATTCCGGGAATACCAATAGTGAATTCAAATCTATTTATCGTTGAAAATGATCACTTGACTATTCATAGTTTAGACCCATCGACTATGGGAATTTATCGATTTGGTTACGAGTATGAACCTGGCTATTTTGAAACAGTTTGCTTTTTTCCTGTTTATATTCATCAATGGCAACAAGTATGTAGTTATAATGCGTCCAATTTGAAGCTCGAAAGTAACTGAATTCAAAGTAATATATTTTTATCAGTATAAGGGACTTGTGGAGATAGTAATATTTTCATGGTTGAAATCAGGAGTCGATCTAATCTAAACCACCACTAAAAAACTGTGGGCACCGGACGTCCTTTACATCCTAGTATTGGACCCTTTAGCGATGCACATCCATTATCCTATACGCAAGACTCAGACCCAGGGCTCACACACAATCACCGAGTCGGCCTCCAACTGTGTTGAAGTCTAACTTTAATCAACTGTGGATGCGCACTGCTGAAAAGTTCCGTACTAGAAAAAAGCGGCCGTCCAGTACTTCCAGATTTTCAATAGTGGTCTAGCTTAGATCGACCTATAATATATTTTCATTTCAAACAATTCATAAGTGAATCGTATTTTTTAAAGTAACAATGAATTTGGAGCTTAGATCTGATTAGCAATAACATGTTGATGGAAAAAATAACGCAATTTCATAAGATAAAGTAATCTAACAACAACTTGACTCATAATAAAGATCAACCATATGTTAAATCATTAAAAAAACTTTCAAAATGTTCATTTTATTAGGGAATATTTCAGACAACTCGTCTATTTGATTACAATTACCCTGTGTAATTGATTAAATACAGCGTTAATTAACACTAGTCGAATATCATTTGAAATAAATTATTAGCACAGTGAAGTGACCGAAGGACTGATAATCATTACGTTCAATATATTTTGATCAGCTCTGGAATCCAGGACTCGCTGTTCGTACTATTTAAAAGAGGGTTTCCTATTTTTTAAAACTAAATATACTACTTTATTTAAAAATAAATAGAACAACACTTTTTGTAAAATTATGTGTTTAGGTATTATCTCATGGAGAAACATTTGACTTAGTTTGTAATTCATTGGGATTATGGCCTATTATAAGTAAATCTACCACAACAAAATGGTTCATTTATTGGAACGTAACTTTATTGGAAAAAGAAGAGCAGAATGATATAAAAAAGCATAAATTATGGTGGTATACAGAACTGAAAAATTCTCATATCGATAAACATGAAGGAAATAATTCATTTGACAATCAAACTGATAATCCATCAATGTTTGGAACACAATTCACATTATGGGATACAGAATATAAGAGACTGTATGATACTGTGAAAAAAATGACAGGATATTATGAATGTCATATATTTAATCAACTTAATTCCACATATAATCGAACATTTATCACGCAATCAATTCATCTTATAATAAAACCACCTCCAAATATATGGACCTTAGTAAGTGATAAAACTTTATTTTCATGATAAGAGATTTTTATACACTTGAATAGTATATTTGTTTTATTAACGCTTTACCAAGAAATATCACCATATTGACGTCTAAGCGAAGAGTTCCACCTTATCATTATAGCTTCAAAATAAGAATGTTAACCAATCTCTTACTGAACCATATTACTTACTAGATTACTCGGTCTTAAATTTGTTGTTAATCGAAAAGACTAGTATTTTTCTGTAATTGATATTTAATCAGTATTTATGCATCCATTCAAAGTTCATCTGTTGACAGAAACTCATTGTTTTAGTTCGTTGATTGTGAAGTTTGATTTGACTCTGAGGTAGTTTTCGCCTCATGTTGACTTCACATTCTGGCGTTCATTGGGATCATACATTCTTCCATAGAATTTGACCGAATAGAGTTCGTCTTCCATGATGGATATGAAAGAGGATCCTTTAATGAGGTATCATTCCAAAGAGCGCTTGTATCGATGATATATTGCTTGGTATAGACATTTACTGAATGGTTCAAGCGTTTCCTGGATGAGATAAAAGCTTATGTTTACCAGAGATGAATTCAAAGTATTTTTGACTGCAGATTATTCGACGCTTCTCCGAGAATAGCTAACACCCATATTATTTGATACATTTAAGCACCTCTGAAATAATCGCTCTTAGTTTACTTTCTGAACTTCGCGTTATTATAAAATCGTCCTGATATGTCGAAACTTCAGCACTCCCACATATGATTGAGTTCTTAGTCTGTTGATGACGAGGTACAGGTTGCCACGGACTGATCTAATGTCGTTTCCTATAGCCTATTTTTGTCAGATTCCATCAAATTAATCGATTACGGAGATGTCAACTTCTAATCTAACAGATTAAATGTATTGGAGAACTGTCTCTACAGTTCGGTAGCTTCGGATGTTTACGGCCAAAAGCTATCTCATAAGGAATAAACAATTTAACTCTGAATATTAATGTTGATAAAAAAAATAACTAGACACAATAATGAGAATCATTATGAACACAAAGTAACTGACAAAAATGATATGGATTATCCTAGATATAGTTTTTACTATTATATGATATACATTTAAAACATTTAAACAGATAGATGATTCAATTCCCTCGGAATCTCAAGATTGAATAAAATGTCCAGCAAATAAGGAAATCATAAAACTGCGGCGTAGAAGCGTACACTAACAAGCATCTTTATACTTCCAGCTTTTCATAATATAAACAAGATTGCTAAATAATCACAAAAATTAAATCCATATGACTACTCTTACAAATCTGAACCAAGGTAAAAATAAAAAAGATAATAGATGAATTTATTGAATTTCGTTAAGTTACGTTTTTAACAGAACGGCGGGACTATAATTTATGGACGAACCAACCAGATTTAGGATAACAGGATTTTGGCACGAAATCCATTCATCCGCTTGTTTAAATAGCGTTTTGGCATTTTAGCTGATGTCAGTTCGTGATGAAAACCCTAAATCTAATTTCTAACCCTAACCATCAACTGAAAATTACTATCTTAATTCTTCACATTGGATTACAACCCTCATTTAGCCTCAGTAAGTAGGGAAACATTCCCAAGGTCACGTTGCCGTAACTCAAAGGTCATCAATAAATTATAGTCTCACCGAAACATTCATCATAAAACACTAGAGAGTGAAACAAAGACATTATTTGTAAGTTTTTATTTAAAGGTATAAAAATTAAAATACAATAAAAAGTGTACAAATCGAAAAGTAATTACGTGAATATCAAAGGGTATTATGCAATATTTGAAATTTAGATCTTATCAGTGAGCGAATAAACCTACCCACCAAGGTTACCGTTACAAATCTGTAATTACTATGGATCTTTTTAAAAAAAACCGGCTTATTTATTAAGTACAGGATTATGCAAATCAGCTTCAAAATGTTTGTGAGCGAAAGCTAGTTCGAATTGAAGTAGGGCGAAGTCAAGAAAATTGAGACCTACTGACTGAAAGTCGTGTTTTAAACACTCTTCTATCCGACACCTGATGTTGACTCAGTGGCATTAATTTATGACTACATTACTATAGTATCAATATTACCATAATCCAAAATTACGGAGTTAATGGAGTAAAATGTAACAAATTAACTGGTAAACAACAATGTTTTTTTTCATTTCTAATGGAAATACATTGGATCAAAAATTCACATACAACTGATCCCTATATTCCATAATGATCAAACACTTCATCAAATCCTTCTTAATCATTTCATCAGTAAGACTAATATCATTATTCAACTTTAGAAAAGATTTTAAAACTCAAATAACATTATACAATATAGACAGAGAAAAAAAAACATTTCAATAATGTTTATTATTAGTTTTCTAATATTTGTTTTCTATAAGGTGAAAGGCTGGTGTTTACAGCATCAAATAAATTTAATAATATTATTTTTGATAAGTATAATGACAAGTCTTTCATATGCAACTTATAAATGGACAATAGCAAAGAGATTATCAAAACTAGAAATTCAAATGAATGAAACAAGAAAGCATAGACAAAGTACCAATTTCGATGACATTTACATTATCAACTAGTTTCGACTATTTGGTAACAAACATGCTTTAATGCAATCGAAATGAATTCAGTTTGACTGAGTTTGTATGAAAGTAACAGTTCAAGAGCAATTATACTGTATAAATAACGTAACAACAGGAGAGCTAAATAAACTATTATCATGAAAGGTAATATTAAAATGTAGAAATGCGTTAATACATTAATTGCTTATATAGAAAATGTAATTTTATTTACAAAAATATGCTTGAAAATAAAAATTATTCGGTTATGTAACATTTGTTCTTATTTTACTCATTACTTACTGAGTTAGACTATAAAATTATTAACATAGTACCTATAAATAGTTTGTTGAATGCTTCACTATAAATCTTCATTTTGATTTAAATAAGATTATGTATGATTCTCAAGAAGACACGCCGTTTCAACTAATCAAAACAAATATGAAATAACTTATTTTAAACTCTTGTGTATTATGAGGATATTCAGCTGTGATGAGTGTTTTTAGTTGTTTAACGCCCTTGAAAATAGAAAGTTTTTTATTGACAAGCTTTAATTGTCGTTTTGGACATTATCGAGTTTACATTGCTATATCAGATAACAATGTTATTTACCAGTGAAAATAAATTATGCTATGAAAACATGAAAAGTCATTTATTAAGAACAAAGTTTCAACGACAATTACGTAAATGAAACAATGAATTTTATTACTAGTACAGGTAAACCATGAAAATGGAATAACAATATAAAACAGACAGAGAAAGTTATTCTAACAAAGAACCATCGAGTGAGAAACTGAATCTCTAAAAAAACATAAAAAGCTCTGTTCAACTGGTAGCATGAGCTCGAAACACTACTTGCACCTTCATGAAGTAAGTAGACCACTGATTTTGAATCCCAACAGTCCACATCTCTAAGGTTAACTCTATTATTTAGCAGTAATTATCACACCATCAAAGTACGTTCTGAAACTTCTCAAAACTGAATATCGACTTTGATTCATTATTAAGTAAACATCACTGAGTGACAATAACCGACAATAACCTGTACTGAGTTATTGTGGATCCGTTCAGTCATGTATAATATATTCAATACGCTTACTTATTCAAGAACGTTTAAATTTAACAACCTTATCACATAGTCAAGATCTAATTATTACTAGTGAAGACATAACAGAGAGTGAGTAGTAGACATAAGCTCTTTGATTCATAGTTTAATAGAAGTAAACTGTTTCCTGTCTGGATCTTCTAATTGGCTACTAGGTTGAAAAATCAAGGACCAATAAGCGTTAACGTATTAGGTGTTGTTCATTAGTCGGTGTGTCAGTTCGTGAACTAGGTCAGCTTGCCTACTGGTCACATAGGTAAACTAATGGATAATCAGAATCCTGATTGGACTACATAACACATGATTTCGATTGGAATCTCAAGTCACAATAGATAACACAACTAAGAAACAATCACCTGATCAGACGGAATAAAAATTAGTTTAAAACGATTACGAAGTCTATTATATAACCGCTTGAAGTAGTTGCTACGATTGTAAAAGTGATGAACATACAATCATTTTATATGATCAGCTTTAACTGTTGCATTCGCTTCATTATAAACAGTAAGATAATACTGATACCGCTAAAAGTGTAGTTAAAGGGGATATATATAAATCTTTGTTTCATTACTGGATTGAATTAAAAAGATTTCCTTGTTATATTCAAACTAAATATGATGAGCACAAAATACTCATAAACATTGTTGACCAACTTTTACCTTCTACAATGTTTCCAACGTGTTTTAAAAAGTGTATAGAAAATATGTAAATTATCATCGTAAAACTAAGGTACCCTTGTTACTTACTGAAATATCTTTACCATTTTCATAACTCTTTTAGGATGATGAGGGAGAATCACGCAATGAAGACATCTTAAAAAAACCATCCCCGATACACGAACCCATGAACAAGTGGATGTATAGAACATACTATTTCAAGAGATTTATTTCTTATCAACAGACGTCTTAAGAATTGAATAACCAGCTAACTGTGTATTTCTAAATTTAAACATATGAAAAGTATTTATGAACCGAAAAATTAATGTTCTATTCCAGAACACTTATTGTCACAATCGAACAACTAGACAGAACGAGTACACTAAACTCATACAGAACAAAAATATGTCGAATTAAGTTAATACATTTTAAAAAATCGGTATAAACGGGATGCCATGAAAACCGACAACAGAAATATGATTCACGAGTAGAAAGTAATAAAATATACAAAACATTACAGAAACAAACCACTTTAGATCTTATAGTCAATAATTTTATTATCCCTATGGTTCTCACCTAAAAAGTTCATAGCTCTCCCCTTCTCTACAAATAGTTAGTCAATTTACGAACAAATACTAATAACCGCAGTGTTTACAAACGAGACACACTATTGAAGGTAGTTGATTACGCCCCTAGTCAAAGTCTAAGCCTTTAGATCCATGTTTCACCCAAATATATACAGACTCATGGATTTGAGCGCACGTAATTCGAATTGCTAACCAAAGCTTTCTAGACATATAATAGTTTTCTCACTCTTACTGGCAGTTGGTCAAACTTATAAGTAGTGTGTGTATCGGTAGCAGGATCGAACATGATGGGCTGTAACAAAACAATATGATTTCTTCTCACTACTTTAAATTTATATTTGAAAACTACATCAGAAACTGAATAAGAGCATAAATAGTATTATTATTATTAGATTATATACAACAAAACTCTTTACAATATTTCAATGTACAATAATTAGATTACAAAAATCTTCAAATATTTGCTCCAATTGAATCACTTGGTGAAATAAGACTAGATTTATGAAGAACCTTTTGATTAGTAGTAGTACTAATACTAAGAGTACTACTACTAGGCGATTTACTCAACTGATTGATATTACTAACATTAGGAGTCCAATAAAGACATGTAGAATCAATACAACGATCAGTAGCAGGCGGTTTAATTGTACTCAAAAGAGCGTCTACATCAGGCTGAAAAAATTATAAACAAAATAAGTATAAGATAAAATATAAGACTAATTGTAACGGATTATTAACAGGATAAATGAAGTTTAATTAATAATCAGCAAATATAAATTTCGAATGTATGAATTTGTATTACAGTTTAATGATTAAAACAATCAACTTTTAGCTATTAAATCTCAGGTGCAAACTCCGCTCAAACTACTTCCGTTCAGGCATTCGAGTAGTGTCATTAGTTTTTTTAATACTTAAGTGGCTGGTGGGTGAGTTATTTTAACGCACTTTCTTCCCATTTATGAGAACCACTAGAAATCATGTTATAGCACAAGCGAAATTGTTTTATTCTAGTCAGTGTCTCCATGACAATTTTTTAAGTACGAACCCAAATAGAATAGGACCTACAATCTTTAGTTCAGTTAGAAAGTATGTAACTATTCACACACTAAGTTGGAAATCCAGAAATAGTGTTTCTTTTTATTTTGAATAGGAATGCGTATAGTGCAATCACATGTTACCTGTAAAATATTATCAGAGATGATGCCAACAGTCAAGAGAGTAAGGAAGTTCTAATGTTAAAAATCCTCATTCCCTATTGTAAAAACTGGATAGGAATGAAAACTACTCACAATAAACAAAAAATCTATAGACCACACAATCCAGATATTACAAGAATAATGAATTCGCGTGGAATTTTTATCTATGGATGTTGAAATCTAAGAACTACCTCTTGAAAGATATCATAAACGCAATAACCAAGGAAACCTAAGATAAAACTAGATGAAAATAGGAGAGGGTTGATGAGAGTATCTTGTCATAGTTATCTGACAGATATAAGTAGTATGTAGCAGTGATCGGAAGTGCAATACCTGTCAGCAGAAGATTGGATTGAGGAGAACAGGAGAGGAAACAAAGAACAATTGTAGTAACAACAGAATTGAAATAATCACGAAGTATATAAAGGACAACCGAAGGAAGATGCGCAAATAATATGTTTAATGTATGGTTTCCATATTTTAAGAAGGCATTGTGTAATTTTACATAAGACAATAGATTGGTTATCAGAAGGGGTTTTATGGAGATTTTAGTAATTTCAATAGTTGAGATCATGAGTCAATTGAAGCTAGACCACCATGGAAAACCTGGAAGCACTGGAAAGCCGTTCCGTCCTATTGTGGGACTCCTCAGCAGCGCGCATCCACGACCCCACCTCGTGGGACGAAACGGACGTTCAGTGCTTCCAGGTTTTCCATCGTAGTCTAGCTTCAATTGACTCATGATCTCAACTATTGAGATTGGTTGTCCCTAAGTGTTTTATCGTTCACTACATTATCACTTTACCTCTACAATGGCAGAAAAGGATTAATTTTAGTTACCGTTTTAAACCGTCTAAGTATTTGTATTGCTGACTTTATGTGATATAGGATAAAAGTTATTCATCTTTAAATTTCGCACAAAAACCAAGAAGTTATTCTCTCGATTCTGATTAGCTTGTTATCTCTATATCCATATACGTAGTGATAAATTAGATAGAAATACTAGGTCTAAGTACAATTATGTTTTTATTTCAAGAAACAAATGAACGACACTAACTACTACCGAGTCTAGATTACCTGGTTGAGGTCTGTGCGATTATCGTGACCAGTGGTTAGACAATTCGAATGATATTGTTGAAAATCGTTCGCAATGACGCAGATGAACTTACTTTTTCCCCTCTCTTAGATCCCAAGTTTTTAAATTGCTTGTAATTTTCGTTAATCTTACAAATTTATATCCTCTCGAACGGTATCCTCGATACTTAATCATTTTCATTACTATCAATACTGTTAACACTTTTAATACTCTGGGATTTGCACTGACAATTTTATCTCTCTGTACTAATAAGGTATGACAAGTTAAACCGATGTACACATGCGCCAGATTCTATGTTGCGTTTGACTGACTAGCTGACTGCTACTATTACTAGCTTTTCATCATTAAAAAATACAATATGCCAAGAACAAAAACAGTGAAAAATTCACTTACTTTATTATTGATTATGTAATATTGTGTCCGATAGCAAACAAGCATCTTCATATCTAATAAAGTGCTTACAATATCAGGAACTGCTATTCCTAATTCTTGACTCATAGCTAAAAAAAAGGTGGGTTCATCGTCGTCATAATAATAATAACAATAGTAGTAATAATAATAGTTATAGTAATAATAATAATTTATCTGAATAAAAGCTTTTCAACAAAAACAAATTACAGGTTAGTTGAAGGGATTTCGTGAAAATTGGTATAGTTTATAGGTTTTATTCACCACAGACTAATCTCATAGACCCGAAGTTTCTAAGGTTTGATCCCTAGAAGGGTTGTTGGTGCGCAGTGCTCAGTCTCAAATTAAGGTGAAAAAGTTGCTTAATGCACCCTAATTTCAAATGTTACCTTTACTGAGATCAATCTGTGATTAATACAACTTGCGAAGTATGATTTATTTCAAATTAAAAATGTATTATTTATATGATATTTTTACTTAGCCGATTTATTTACACTATGAATAAGGTGTGTATAGAACCTTTCAGTGGGGAATTGCCGATGATCAATAAGTGTAACAATAAGTCTACTTTGATTGTCAGTTAATGAAAACACTGTGAAATAATATTGTGTTGTATTTCTTAGTCTAAAAGATAAAAGACTAATGTACAATTCCATTTCTGCTACATGTCCACGAACCTGGTCTGTTCTACTTATATTCCTAGCATGTACGTTTGCTTGCTCATGGCTTTTTAAGTATATATTTCATTTATCCAATTATACTACATTCTAAATCAATTATTTTTTAGAAGAATGAACACTTGTTTCCACTTGAAGTTACCGCATATATCTCCATATTAATTGACAGTCAGATTAATGCAACTGTGGATCTCTTTAAAAATGAATTTCAGGACATTATATAAAGTTAGACTAGCTTTGTTAAAATTGAAGATAAGTAAACACAAATCAATGCAGAATTTCGCACAAAACTACCGCCGTCTGAATTTCAACTAAAACTTTTAATACCCCAACGAAATAAACCATCAAATCATGGAAAAAGGAAATATCAATAACAATAATGATGAGCAGGTCCTCACATTTATAATCACGTTTCATTGTTGAAAATAAAAGAGTAAAAGGCCATATATATAATTAATTTGCATACTCTTCATCAAACAGTTACAAAATTTTGGTGACATTATGACGCGGCTACCATGTCGATTGGACTGGGATCCCAAACTAACGCTGAGTGATATTGCAAATAAATATCAAAGGCTAATTAATCTTCAGCGCGATACTAATATGGTTCAGTGTGGAGATTACGACCGCTCCGAAGTTCACATAGTCCAGCAACCATCCAACACTGCCAAACCCGAGCCTGTTATACCTAGCTCATCTTACTCAAGCTCAGTTCATTAAACGAAGACAAGTCCTCCGGCTCCCTCCTGGCACTGTGTTGTGTGACATTTAGTAAGAACCTGTCCGTTCAAGCAACATCGTTGCAGGAAATATAAATCCAACGGTCACAAAGATGGACTCTGTCAAAGTTGGAAATCAAACCAACTATCACATCAGTCCATAAACATTGGAAAGCCTGCTTCCAAAACCTGCACTAATTCGTTGAGCCTACTAGAATCCTATCAGAGCACAACTCCAGGTGAAAAAAAACTTATTATCTTTAATAATAATGGGCATTTATTTAGATCCCAAATAGATAAAGCTTCAGACATTACCATTATCTCCCGTAAATTTGGGATCGAAATGGGCAGCCCGTGCATTCAGCTAACAAGATAAAAGGCTCGTACAGCATGTGGTAGTTATCTGCGTTTGTTCGGACGACTAGATTGTGACGTGTCTTCCCGAGAATCGGTGTTCACCAGGGTATGTTGCGTAACGCCAGTTACTTTAAATCTACTTAGTTTAGATTGGTTTGACCAGTTTCAGCAAGCTAAGGTCCCATTAAGTACCGTATGACATCTGGTGAGACAACCTCCGGAACCGGAAGCACATACAACGAAGTTGGAGATGCTGGACCCCCAGAAATCACTTGATAAACATCCTATTTTTGTAATTTAATTGTAGAGATTTGAATCTATCGTTTTCGCGCCAAAAGCTCCCATTACTACCTTTAACTTGTGTTACCCGCCTGGAAGGACTTTAAATTTTATTGGTTCGTCTTCTTTTTCGGTACTTTATTTAGTGACGCTCTTCAAGGACATTTTTATATTGTATACATCATATAAGATTTGGGTGTTTGTTATTCGTTCTTCTGGGCTGGTTGTAGAATTATATATTTTTCTAGCTGACTCTGATCTTCATCTAGCTAACAGAGCTGGGATGCAGAAGAATAACTTAGCTTCGTCCCATTATTGTGTTCCTGGTTTACGTTCCGTTCCTCGGTACCATTGTAATATCATAAAATTTCGTTTCTGATATTTTATACTAAAATTTGATCAGTCTTTGTTGGCAAATGTACATTTTATGTTGACTGAACCTATATAGCCACAAGTTTATAAAAAATAAATGGAACGTAGTCAGCAGGAGAGTTCAGGATGCGTGTTTTGGTACATTTGGGACTCGTCAGTTAGATGTGGCTGTGTCCTAAGTTGTTGCTCACTCAGGGACTGATAAAATTTCAGTCAATATATCAACAGCGGGGTCATCCAAATAATTACAAATTAAGTTAAAATTCATACCCCTGCAAGAATGAGAGAATATCTGGACTTGGTAGGTAGGCAAATAACGCGCTGAAGTTTCAAGCAAAAGGTACTGGGTTCGAGTCCCACAGTGAACATTACCCTGGGATACAGGTACGTCTGGCTAACGAGTCCTAAATAGGACCAGCCTAGAGTCCTGGATTACACTACATGCCAAATTTCATGTATTATGCACAAAGTTATTTTACAGAATGTTTGGAGGTTGAAAGTAGTAGACAAGAAACTCTGGATCCTAGTTTAGTGTTAAGACTGATATAAAACTTTGCATAGTCCTGAATATAACCCCTTTTTGACGCATTGTACATCTGTTTTAAGCCATCAGGTTAGTTATGAGTCCATATATTAAGAAGTACGTGTAAGCACTACTCGTTTGATTTTCTAATATTCTAATCCAAAATTAAAAGACTTGATAGTTTACGTCGGCCACCAGATATAATCGATTTGTTGTTAGTGATGTAAACAATAACACAACAAGTATAGTACTATCACACTTCATACAATTATCTAACCGTTAGTCCTGCAATTTTTAAAGACTATATCCAACCCATACGTAGAACGACAGATGAGATTTTCAAACAAACTTTTCAATTAGTTAAACGGTGACATATTAATCGACTACTTTATTCAAAATAAATTTTAAAAAATTATTTGTAATGCAGTACCAAAACTATCAACGTAATTTCCGTTTTAAAATTACTTGAATCGATAGAATGACTTCTGAGGTCATCTTAGATACATCTGATTGTTGCTTTGATCTCGAAGTGAAACGTTGAAAGTCTAATAAAATATAGATTTTTTGAAAAAAATCGTAAATTATAGTCACTTACTTCGAATATTAATTGATTTAGCTGTGAATGACGATAAGTATTTTAAAATTTCAAAACGCCAATATCTTCTGTAAATAATGATGCCCAAATCTGATAATGGACGTTCTGGTGTACCAATACGTTGTTCTAGTCGACTTAAAATATAACCTTCGAAATAAGAAATAATTATTTCTTAGAAAAAAAATTAATTATACTTTTTAACTAGTATTAGGAATAATATGACGAGTAGATGAAAATCAAAGACAAATGCTTCAACATAAATTTTATCATTATTACTCGAGTCCTGAGTAAAAAAACTGACATAAACTATTGCAAGATTATTCTTTAGAAAATAGTAGTTACAGAATACCCGACTGGAGCCACTAAAGTGACATGGTGATCAGATTAATTTACCTTGATGAACCGATGGAGCTATATTGGTTAGAGCACTTAGTTCTCTTAGGTCCATACTATGCCACACAAGTCAGTTAGAAAATGGTGAGACTAAAAGCAGCACCTCAAAGTCTGAAGGAAACGTCATACTGCGGACCCTACAAGTGCATGGCAACAATGAAGGGTTCCTTTCACACAACCTGCATCTTCAGCGATGCTGAATGGAAGAATGGGACTTCCATTGCCGGCTGTGATGTGTTATCTATAAAATAAGAAGCCGGTTATGACCGACCTTGAAATCGGCGGTTACGCCTTCAGTTGTTCAAGACCAATAGAAGTTTGACTAGAATATAACGAAATTTACATTTCAAGAGAATATAATCAAAATATAAAACCCTTATTAATGTTACAAAGTAGTTCAAATAACATTTTCTATAAAAACTTAATTAACACATACTCATCTCGATTAGCATACGACCAAAACCACGACATTGATAAGGCGGTAAAATGAGAATACATGAAAGATTATTGTACACGGTATTGACGGAGTTGTCACATTGATCATCAGCTTTTTGCTAAATAAAAAGCAAAATAAAATGTATGACGATAGTTATTAATCACAATCCAAACACAAAGATGAAAAATTACCAGAAAGCTTCAAAACAACAACGGATAAGGAAGTTAGAAAAATGTTCTAATACTGAAATTTATTAAGATTCTTCTAATAATCTCTTCACATTAATTAAATGGTAGTAAATTTGTCTGAATGAGCAACTTAAATGCCTTTACTTGAAAGTCTTAAATTTAATATTGAATAAACCTTAATTACTGACTTTCGAAGCAATTCCCTTTAGTGAATCCGCTTCTGTTGGTTACGCCGAAATTCCTACATTTTTTAGTTTAATTAAAGATGAACGATATGCCTCAAAAATATTAGATAATGCAAAGATAGGTGTCATTAAGTGAGCCATAGAAGTAAATACACTACATTCAATAAGAATACATCAGATTGTGATTCAAACATCTCTATGACGATTTCTACGAGAAATGCCCTGGTATGGCCGAGAGCGGGGTGGGTTTGCCCTCCCTCTCGAAATACTCTCATACGGCCACGCGTATACAGCCTCTGCCAGGGAAGTCCTACTCACTGCCTTCTCGTGGCGCGGGTGTTGTTTACGAAAATGAGAGGACGAAAAGCGAATATCCGGCACTTTAACCGGATCCCAAACCAAATCAATGGTGCATATGGGCTACAGGATCCTGCGGGAACAAATGGCGTATGAACTAATCGTTGGTCACCGGTTAACTTCTAGGCTAGCTGCCATTCCACCGAAAAGTATAGATGAGCATTGGCTGCAATTGCATGACGCCATGAAAATATCGGGTACAGTTAGTTGTGGGTTCGCGAAACGTCCCGCTTTTAGGCACTGGGTTTCATCTGGTTCCTTACAACTCATAAAAGCCCGTCTGTCTACTCTGGGTGACCGTGAGTTTGACCACAAACGAAGGATGTTACGTAATGAAATCGGGCAAAGCTTGCGTAAGGACCGAGAAGCCTGGTGGTCGAAGCGTGCTAATGAGCTGGAAGCAACAGCTGCATCTGGTAATTACCGGAAGCTCTTCCAACTCATCCGAGCCACTGGCAGCAAAAAATCTGGTGTGAGCGAAACAATCTGTGAGGATGACGGAACGCCAATCACTAAAATCCATCGACGTCTTGGACGATGGGCAGAATTTTTCGAAGGGCAGTTCAACTGGCCTGCTGCTCCGGCAACATCGGTCAGACTGTTCTGCCCACCATGGCCGGTGAAGACTAATCCACCAAACGAGGAGGAAGTCCGCAAGGAACTCAAACTCTTGAAGCGTTACAAATCACCTGGCCCAGATGACTTACCTCCGGCTCTTTTTAAAGATGGTGGTGACTTTCTGACTAAGTAACTGACGACGTTGTTTACAAAGGTTTGGGAACTAGAGAGTGTATCAACGTCATGGGATGAGTCGATAGTTATCCCTATCTTTAAAAAGGGTTCACGTCTTTCCGGTATTAACTATCGGGGGATAAGTCTACTTCCAATTGCGTCCAAGCTATTGGCTTCCGTCACACTTCGTAGGTTGTTCAAAACCCGAGAAAGATTGACTCGCGAGAAGCAGGCTGGGTTTCGTTCTGGTCGAGGATGTATTGATCATATCTTCACCCTCCGCCAAATGTTAGAACACCGCCATACTTATCAAAGGCCAACAATCGTAGTGTTTCTTGACATCAAGGCTGCCTTCGATTCGTTGGACAGGACTGTTCTCTGGGATCGGCTATTGAAGATGGGTGTGTCTGAGAAGTTTACTAACATCCTAAAAGCCCTATATGCAAACACCTCAGGCAGAGTGAAGGCATACAACCACCTCTCTCCATTGTTCCATTGGAGCAGTGAGGTTAGACAGGGTTGCCCAATCTCACCATTCCTCTTCAACTTTGCCATCGGCGACATTCTGAAAACAGCTCTGATGGATGTAAGCAATGGCGGTGTGGATCTGTTGCCTGGAGAAAGACTTCTCGACCTTGAGTATGCGGATGATATTGTCTTACTGTGCGATAATGCCCAAGCCATGCAATCCGCACTTAATCAGTTAGCAATCAGTGTCCGTAAGTATGGTATGTGGTTTGTACCTTTGAAGTGCAAAGTAGTTCTATAAGGACGGGTTTACTGCGCAGCACTTTGTTCCATCCTACTTTATAGCAGTGAAACATGGCCGGTAAGAGTAGAGGATGTTTGTAGGTTACTATTATTTGATCATAGGTGTCTTCGAAATATTGCTCGTATATCCTGGGACCATCGAATAAATAACGCAGTTGTTAGAAAACGGGTACTAGGTAAGGATGGCAAATCAATTGATGACGTAGTGAAACTTCATCAGTTGAGATGGCTGGGACACGTGTTACGTATGCCCAACAACTGACTGCCTCGACGTGCGATGTTCAGTGGTATAGGAGTAGGTTGGAAGAAAGCTAGGGGCGGCCAGACCAAAACATGGCACAATTCCATGAAGTCATTGACAAGTGGATTGAGTCATGTTGGTAGGTGTAGACTACCTGGTTGGGGACCGCGAGATGATAGCAACCGATGGTTAGAGACCCTGAATGACATGGCTCAAAATCGTTTGCAATGGCGCAGGTGCATCCACTCTTTGTGTTCTCCCAAATTTTGATCTCCTTATTCCTCCTTGTCTCTTTTTTTTCTCTTCCCAAATTTATTTCACTGTATTATACTCTTTAAATAACATCTGCAAACACTAATTTTCCTGATTACTGCTTATACTCTTATTACCTCTACCACTACGGGATTTGAATCGACAATTGTATCTCTGTGCTAATGTGGTGTGACAACTCGAACTGATGTACGTACGTACGAAGTCCTACGTTGTTACTGACTGACTGACTTCTATAAGACTGTCAGGATTCTAATCCTGTACTCACTCTGGATGGTGAGCAGATAGTAGTCGAGAAGTTCGTGTATCTGGGTAGCTGCATAGGTGCTGGTAGGGGTGTGAGTGATGAGATCAATGCAGGTGTAGTGAAAGCCAGAGCGGCTTATGCCAATCTGGGTCATCTTCGGCGTGTTCGTGATGTTAGTCTGGCTGTAAAAGGTCGGATCTACAACACGTCGGTGAGAGCAGTTTTGCTCTATGCTTGTGAAACCTGGCCTCTCCGAGTTGAGGACGTTAGACGACTCTGTGTTCGATCATCGTTGTCTCCGAAGGATTGCTGACATCCAATGGCAACACCATGTTAGTAATGCAGATGTTCGGCATCGTGTGTTCGGGCACAGAGACGATAATGCAATTAGTGTCACCATCTTGAAACACCGACTTCGGTGGCCTGGACATGTTCTCCGAATGTCGTCCCAGAGAATTCCACGTCGTGCATTATTTGCCGACTCTGGGACAGGTTGGAAAAAGCGGAGAGGTGGTCAGTGTATGACATGGTGTCGTGGCATGAAAGAAAGCTGCAAAGGAATGGCTTGTGTTGGTCCTTCACGACTCCCTGGTTGGGGTCCGAGAGATGGTGCTACACAGTGGCTAGAGACGTCATCAGATATGGCTCAGAATAGAAGCCAGTGGCGACCCTGCTGTAACCTTCTTTCACTTTCTTCGTAAAAAGTGGTTGTATCTTCCTTAACTGAAAGATTTCTTCTGATTGTACCTTTCTGTTCCCTCATTATTACTAGTATTATTATTACACTACCTTACACCAATCTCTTCGTTATCGTTCTTTTTTTTCTACGCACCTTACCTTTTTTTCTTTTTCCTTCCCTTTAAATTCTCATTGTTTTGTGTGGCGCATATATATTTGGCGACTGTTGTACCAATATTTATGTGTTCAAATAAATAAATAAATAAATCTACGAGAAAACTAAAGAGAAATCTACTGATAAATCTTCTGACTGAACAATTGAATCAGTTTACTAAGCTCTTTTAATACCCAAAGGCTAGCCACCATTCATTTCTGCTTAAGATGCTTGTGATTTAAGACAATATTGACACAATCCAAACAGGATGAATATATGCCAATAAGAGACTGATCAATTTCAGTCCCAAACACCAATGGGAAAATCTAAGCAACCAATACAAAAATGAATTAAAACTTCACCCAATTGCACAAGCTAGTGGCTATCTGAACTTAGTAGCTAAGTGAATAACGTGATGGCGTTTTAAGCGAATGGTAATGGGTTCGAGTCCCGAAGTAGACATCAACTCTGAAATGCAAGTACATCCAGCTGACGAGCCCCAAATAGGATGAAACGCGCGATCCGGATTCCACAGCTAGCCAGCATTCATCTCTGCTTATATGCCTACGTACAATTGGATATAGTGCCCTGAAACTACCATCCAGAGTGAGTGAATCTTAAGAACAACTAGAAATTTCCTAGAAATACCAAACTGAGTCAGAACTATAAACTTTCTGAGTTCTTTTTGTTTGTTTGATCAGTTTTAGAAGCTTTATTAGAGGGTTATCAAGAGGGGAAGAAAAATGTATACTTCTACCATATAAATCCTTTGCCTAAATAAATCTAGTTTCCCAAAATGTATAACAGAATTACTGCGCAACATTTTTAAAATCTTAAAATGACTAAATGATCAGAAAAATTATTAGTTTTGACGCATGACTCACTATATATATACATATAATAAAGACTTCTCTACACGAAATAAGCGCTGAAAATGTTGGCCAGAATGACAATGAATGCTACAACAATTGAATGATCTAGTTCAGAGAAGATTAACACCATTAAAAACTTAGAAAACTATGAATAAAATAAGAGTATATTTTACTTACTTTTGAGAAATAACCAATAATATGTGAACCATCTTGATCTGTTTCAGTTAATACGTAGAATAAAAATGCAGGAACTTGATCTAACTCATGAACTGTTTTTTGTTTCAGAAATAATTTAGCTAATAAACATAAATTTCGACAATATTCCTGTAAAAAAAAATTTAAAAATATTTATTAATGTAAAGATTTATCGCTAGCCTACTGAATATATAAGACAATCTTTTTTAAAACGTACTAATCACCAAGAAATATTAGTAGATAAACAGACAGATAGAATGACAAGTTAATTTAAGGTACACATTATACAATAATATTTTTCATGGCCTAATTGAAACAATGATATAATCAAGCTATTTATATCATTAAAAAGAATACCACTCGTTAATAACTAACAATGTTTACCATTCAAACTAATGACTTACAACCAACTCTTAATTGTTTCTCAGCTAAACATCAATACACGATACTAATTACCGATATAACAGACCAATAAAACTAACTACAATGTGAAAATTATGTAAAATATTCTTTAAGCAAACAAAGTTACAAACATTTCATTTGCGAAAAATTCGAAATTGGCCTACCACGTGACGATATTATCAAGCTGAAAGATTTTATTCTCAATACTTCAAAAACAAACTTATGTGTTATTTATTTAATACATTTGAAATTATGATATATAAATAGATCAATGAATAACAACTGTGTTTCTATTTTATTTTTGTATGATTTATTGGCAACTAAGTAGTAGTGACTAATATCACGTTTTTTTTCCTAGTCCCGTAGTGTTGACCAAATTCTATCGACCAAGTGGCAATGTCGCCAACAGTTTAAGTCAGCCAATATCATTGGTACTACGTTCATATGCTAAGTGTTTGGAGGTAGTTATGTAGTTTGAACAGTATTTAAGGATTAGATAGTAATGACATTGGTCGCTAATCAAATACGCAATCAACTATAAATATCTCATTCCTACAGGATATCAGCCATAGTCCGAATAGATTCGTAGTAATGTCTTAATCTGTGAAGCCAGGTTCGAATACTATGAAGAGTATCTTCCTCTCAAAACTGCAAGTAAGCCTTGATGACGAATACCCCACAGAACAAAACTTACGCCTAGGGTTTTCTACGGACCACCACCAACCAACACTTAATACTCTTTTTTGAGTAACAAGCTTCTCAACAAATGACCTATCTGTCTACTATCAGATTAAGAAAGAACCTTTTCTGTCCCATTATCGATGTTAGTCAGAGTTTCTTAACAAAAACGTCACGTGTGAAAAAAGCGGATAAATACATGACTATTTGACTTTGAAAATAACGAATTTATAAGCCCAAAAAACCAATTTCCAGATATTAATCTATGATTTCAAGATTTTTATCATTTATATTTTCATCCTTTCTACACAGCAAAAAGTTTATACTGGTCAAACAAAACAACAGGAACTATTGAGGGAATTTACAAAAGTCACAATTCAGTAACGAAAGATGTTTCAATGAGAAAGTTTCGTTAATCATTCAAAATCCGTATTTTACACAACCACTAGATTTACATACATACACAGTTACGCTGGGCATATTAAAAAGATCTTCAAATAATGGTGGAGATACTATTAAAAGATTTTACTTTCTTACAAACAATCTATAAAAATGGATCAGAAAGATTACGATAAATTAACAGAAAATCTATTACTTTTGTATTCCTAATATATACGTAATTATCAATAAAACCCATGATAATTTAAACAAGAAAAAGCTTTTTTAAGTAGATTTACCTGATGCTTTTGTCCATCAATTTCAAAAAACGATAGATTCTCCTTACGATATATTTCATTACCTGGAGGAAACGTTCGACCACAATTAATCTGTAATGATTATCATGATACATGAATAACACTTTACCAACAAAATAAAAACAATTATTCAAATATGAAATCACTAAAAACGACAAACAGTAGGGATATATGAGAAAAGGAGTACAAGAGTGGGTAGGTCAGTCAATAATAATCGACATATGACTATATATATGCTCATCGATCACAGTTGCAAAATCATATTAGTATGGCAAAGTAGAAGTATTGAGACAAATCCAAGAGTATTATAAGTAGTAACGGTATCGGTGGTCGTAGAACAGATTAAATATAGACAAGATGAATTAAGAATGAATTTGTGGAATAGAATTACTAAAGTGGTTTTTGCAAAGTCTTTTACTATCTGAATGTAATTTTCATTACATAGTGATATCAGATGAAGACCTATTGAAAACCGGATTATCACTGTAAACAGCTGTTTTAAATGTAATTCGAGACTTCTTAGTATGCACACTCGTAACGTCATATCGAAGACATTGTTAATACATCCATCCATATCAATGGGGAAAAACATAAGGCCATATAATTCAATATTTTAGAATATTAACAATCCTTAATATGTTTGAAATAGCCATGACCTGAAACATGACTTACATGTATGGTGAAAAGGGGTAATTGTTTTGACATAATTAGAATTTCTTTTCATAAATTTAAGACTGAAACGTTTGAATATTCGAGCATTCTGTTAAATAACACCTTACTCTATTCAATAAACAATAGAACAGATCTCATAAAAACTACGAGGTATAAAGTATGGCGGTATAATACTTCTCTGCTGGTGGTAATATGCTTTTTTCATCTCCGTCTCCATAGTTTAAGATATCGATGATACACACATCAGACTCTTTAGTCACTTCATTTTGGTTCGCTACGATCGTCTGGACAAACGATACGCCAAAATTTAGTTAATTGTCGGCCAGCTAGACAGTTAACTTTCTGATGGGAAAACATAAAAGACTGTACAAGTTCGAAGCCCAGGTTGACAGTTATCACGCTGAAACATTTCGTCGACGTGAATAAGCTATTTCCTTCAATGTGCTATCTCAGTAAAAGCCCTTCAACATCTCATGAATTGCTGAGAGTTCCCCTCAAGTTTCACCCAAAACTTTAGTACCTCAGTTTGTGAAATTATTGAACAGAGTATGGATAGAATGTTGGTCATAAGTGAATAGAGAGTGTTTAATTTTCCTCCAATTTAAACCATACAGATAAAATACTCGCAAGATATTCAAAAGCTACGTGAATACGGTTACTCATAAAGTCAATGGTCCGCTACGTAGAACAATGGTAGTTAACAAAAATAATTATTAATAAAATCTCAATAAAACATATTTCCATGTAAAAAAAGGGACAGATGTATGATGTGTATACTTGGGCAATGAATATTATTTAGAAGTAAAAGAAAGAGGTTTACACAGATTATTTGACATAGTAACCTAATTTATTCACATAACCAATGGCAAATACAAAAAAAAAACTCTAAAATGGTTAAAAACAGAGCCCATCGATCCAATTATGGATCACTAGAATCCAACTCGGTGGATAAACTAACTAGTATGACCTAATAGAGTGGAAACGTAGGAATCCTACATCTAGAAATAGTAAAATCAAAATTTAGATATAGTATTAACACAACAGCAATTCATCTCAATTTGTTCTTTTTTTAAACTATCATTAGAAATAACATTAAACGTAATTTGAACACAAGCTTAAACCATTTCAGATAGCCATTAGACACTAAATATTACTACACCCACAGCTTACAGAATATCGGTAGGAAACGGAATTACATCTACTGTTTATCAATCCTGAAAGCAGAACACATTAAAAAGTTTGCAGAAATTCATGGTGCCATTTGGATTTAAACCAATATCATCCATCGATGTAATAAAATGTTAACACCAAACGTTTCAACTTAAAACTATATCATCACATAGTTTTCCCCACTATAATCAGTAGAATCAGTAATCCGTAAAAACCAAGGATTACTTCGATTACTGCACAGCAAGTATTACGTAAAAAAAATTATTGCTGATATGAAGGGGATTGTGGAAATGTGATAACTCACAGAAAAATGAGCAAGAGTAATATAACGAATACACTTACTTTATGACGATCATATGCAACCTTATGGCGCATTCCACATAGACAGAATTCACAAATGTATATGGTAGGTAGACAACTCAAATCGGCAGGATAATTACTCTGATACCACGGTTGTAAATCCCATGTTCCAAAAATAACAGAACGTATGCGCTGTTCTGTAGCAAACTCAATATTTTCGGAAAATGCTTAATCTTATTTTGATGTGAAATTACAAACTACCATTATTGGGTACATTTCCTGAATTCGAAGCCACTCGTGCACATAGAAGTAAATGTTCTCGGGCATCCGTCTCCTCGAATGCAGAAAATAAAAAGAGACAATAAACCCATCTTTAACTGATTTTAAAATATTTCTTAATAGACAAGAGACTTCAAACGAAAACAAATAACGTAGGTCAGATAATGCCATTTTCAATCAAGCCCTCATATAATACAATGAAATAACTAACAAAAGAGGAAATTTAATACAGCTAACATTAGGAATAGTGATTTGCATTCATGATTGATATTTGACAATATTTCATGTAGTCTTTAATTAAGTTTTGATGTTCTTCGGCACTAGACAAACACGCGTACGCTTTTAATACCAATCGATGCATTCCTGAGTTGATTTTGAGTCTTGCGGCTACTAACTTACGAGTTCTTCCAGTTTTAAGGTATTCCAAACTATCAAATAGGTAGTGAACTACCGTATGTCACGTGTAAACATCTGCTTATCAAAGGAGTAAAAAGTCGTCAAAGATGTTTAACATGTAGGACTATAGATTATTATCCACTAATCTGTTTCACGTTTTACCATTTTATGTGGTATAACTAGATCACAAATAGGAGTCAAAGTTCGGGATCAAACCATTACGAAAACGAGATTTGTCACTCACTATAAGCTTATAAAATACTTCAAGGTCAATACAGATGGTGTAAACGATAAGGTAACTAAATTAAATCTTAAAATCAAGTAGAAGACGAAACTGTTTTTCAGGCCCAGCATTACAAAATAAGGGACAAGAATGTCCAACACATAAAACTTGAAGCTTTGGAAATAATTTATGAAAAAAAACATCAAAAATGAGACAAAACTGATGGAACACTTGGAAAGATTTGTTAAGTTGGAAATAAATAAATAAAACAAAATGAAACGAATAAATCTTATATATGCTTACATAGGTTGAAACCAATCTTTGTTGAGCACGACGAAACTGGTACAACTCTACTTGGCTAGCTAAATCATCAAGCATAGGTTCCCTTTGTGTAGTTTTAAACTGATGTGAACGGTCAACCCTGTGCTTAACTTTAGAAGGTGATGGTGAATTTTGAGATATCCGTATAATGGATTCTGGAACAACAAGACCTTCTTCCCGAGCACGCATCTCCGCCCATTTCACAAAGCTCATATTGTGATACAAAGGGCATCCAGATAGGGTCACGTGTGCAGTATCTCGGCCATTAATATGACCAATCCCAGAACATCCAATTAAAGGACAATTAAAAGGGACATTTGAACGGTTCGCCGATAGGGCCTGATTGAATTCTTTAGAAAGTAAAATTGAAAGTACAAGTAACTACTTTTCTGTTTTTGCTTCACAGACCATGAGACAAAACGATGCTTTGATTTAGGTAGTTTGGAACGTGAGAATGGTAAGGGTCTTTCCATTTGAGAACATTGACCACTTTTAATTGACCTGGAGTGGAAATTTAAATAAAGACTGCAGTCGAAAATAAACGCTTCTCAAAAAAGCAATAAGAGAAAGTCAGATTCGAAGCTAAGTTGCAAAGAGGCTTTAAGCAGTTAGATGTTACTAACCTGCAGATCCAAAACAATCACTTTCGAGATTTTTCTAAACATGATTAATAATAAACGGAGAAATAATGGGATGATAGACTGTAAATATTAAGATATCTTTACACAAACTCTACAAATAGCTTCGAAAACGATGGCCCGAAAGTAAAAACACAGCTTCTAACCAGTAAGTCAGAGGTTCGAAACATCTCATACCTACTTCGGTTTGGCCAGCCGGATTGTCACTGACCTTAAATTCCAATGCACAATCCCACATTTGGTAAATAAACGACACCTATCAATATTAAGTGACGAAACAACGTGAAATGTTTTGTGCTAGTTAAAAAAGATGGCACTGATTGCTGATTATGCCCTAACCGATAGATAATTTAACCAAATTTTTTTGCATACACCACACCCTAGTTAAATGCTACCAAGTGAGTAAAGTTTCTTAAGAACGCTGGTATTGCTCAGAAATTGTTTGTCAGCTATAGTCTCTTCAAACTCATCAAGGTCACCGATTAAAAGACGGATACAACCTGTGTTGACGGCAGCAATGAACAATAGTTTCGGGTTCGACGAACACCCTGAATAACAATACTTATATTACACAACAGACGAGTCTTTCGTGTCTCCCTACATGTCTCACGAAGTCAATCACAGGTAAAAGCATATATTAGTCAAATATAGGCGTTATTTTGTCAATCCTAGAGAAGAGGTATTAACAAACAACTCAAAGGAGAAATATGGTCGATTTGAAACCTAACCGGGAAGATAAGATATCTTTCAAAAACGGCAACTTGAGTGGTTGAGATATCGGTATTATGCAGGACATACCAACATCAAAGAATAAATCTTAACATTCACAAAAATCAACATGATTGCCCTTTTTAAATTATGACCAAAAATGAATAATCACCACATCATCGAGTGATACGTGAAATCCGAGTAAGCACCACTTTATTTTTGATCTCTCTGACTTTTTCAACAAATATGATTGTTTTTACACCAAGGTCAAGCGCAGAGACAAGGTACTAATGCTTACCAAAGTTATCGTTTGCTACGTCTGACCGCGATATTTGTGAGAAACCAATAAAACAAATATTTAGAAATTCTCATATGATGCAAAGCATACAGAATAAAATTGACTGCCTCGGTTCAAACTAACTGTAACGCACTACCTAAATATTGCGCACCTTTTACTCGATATATTCAATGTGACCTTGTATAAACAAATTTATTAATTGCACTCGCTTCTCGTTGTTTCATTACGGTTCCATATACTTCATAATGTCTAATAGACAAAGGTCGTCTCACTCCATTACACCAAATTTAGTCAATTTGGCTGTGATTTGCGGATTTCTAAATCCTATAGTCTGAATGGTTGGATTTCGGACTTATCGCAATTAAAATGATGGATCAATAAGTGTAAAAGCCTTAAAAAAATATTCGATGGATAAAACAAAAGACGCGGTGCATACACGAATCCAGATTAAATAAGTGTAACGTCCACCTTTTGTGCATGTTTCCGTCTAGCCTGAAAGTACCTTGTACGCTAAGACAGGAAATATCAACCAACGACCCAGAAAGTAGATAATATACACTTCCAATATCCAACATGTTTGCTGCAGGCATGCGTAAACCTATTGATTTTGTTGCACTCACTTTTTAAGGTTTCGGTAAGTTTCCAGATATTTGGTTATGTCCAATGAGTGGTAGTCTGACCACTCGACTGCACTGGTTCTAGTCAGTTTAGTAGTCATTTGAGCATTTATACATCTTGTAGCTAATTGAGTGCGTTTGTCTTGGGGCAGTAGGATTTCTGGATACCAGTAGCTATCAAATTACCAGCTAAGAGGATTGTTGATCGCAGTGTGAAAAAATGAATTTATAAATGAGGTCCTCAGAGGCGAATATTTCAAGAATATATAAGTAATTTACTAAGATAGTAATCTGTGGGAAGGTAGAATTGAAAAATTAGAGGGGGAACATAGATGATAATAAGATATAGGAGATAGTTTATGACATGCTGTAATGATAACCATTGTAACTTATGATACACGCATCCGATGCAACTGGTTCAAGAGTGTTATGGTATTCCATGGCTGAGTACGTATCCGTCAAGTTTCTTTTTTAAAGCAATGCATTGTGAGGGGCTGTGATCACAACGTCTGAGAGAGCATTCCAAATGCAGCCAAGCCTTGGAGAGGAGAATCGATGTTGTGCATGGGCGTTCACCCTTTATATGCCATCATCCGAGGGTTATCTCAAAGTAAGTGGTGAGGATGTTCTGACAATTATCTAGCTTTGAAGTGGCTAGACATACTTAATATTATGTATGCCATTATCAGATCAATTCTTATCCTAATACAGCTCGCTAGGAAATATCCCAGTTGTTAGAGTCTGTCAACATATTAGTCTGATCACGCAACTGGTTATTCATCTTCGTAATTAGTCTAAGAGCTTTATGCTTCTTTAGAATGGAAGGGGCACAATGACATTGTGAACTTCAACGGGAGACCATGCGCACATGTTAAGCAGTGTTAGGAACAACACTAGGGTATACAAGCCCGAGATCAAGCTTTAAGGAGTGGATTTACATGGCGAGTGTAAGTGGTGTATGTCAAATGTGGTAGAGTATTCATGACATGGCATTTCGACAAGCTACGTTCTAATTCATTGTCTACTGTTCACTCCTCTATCGATGTAAGGTCCTTTTGAAGCTCAGGTGGATCCGTTTTGAGTTTTATGGACCTCCAGATCATTGAGTCATTTGTGTAGATCAGTATTGTCCAGCTAATTCTATCGTCAATAGAGAACAAGAACAGGGGTGGACCTAAAGATTTTGCAAGTGAAACACGACATCGAGGCCCTCCAACCAGTGTGCACTCTATTTACCTTAATTCAAAACGTCCTGTTCTTTAGGAAGTTTCGGAACCAAGATAGAATAGGGCTGTAGATCAGCAACGTAGATGATCTATGTCAAAATTATTAGAGGCCTATTCGGGTTAGACGTGAATGTTGTGACAAACTAGCTAACGTCGAAGTCACACCTCGTGGTCAGCACCTTACATGGACTACCCAATTGACGTATCAAGGCACCATAGATGCTTTGAGGGCTGTACAACATAGAGGACGTTATTACAGTAATATATTAGTTCAAGTAGGTACAAGCAAAAGTAAGACCACTGCCTCATGGGCCAGTCCATGACGTAAGATTAACTGATGCGCGTTGGTTGTCCCTGGCATTGAGGAGGATCGATGATTTGCTCGACATTCAATAACCAAACTGCCGGATGATTTGGCTAGGGCTTAGTGACATCTTTGCAACCTTCGCTATGAGTACTTGAGGCACTGTATAAAAAGCTTTAGCTAGTTCGAGGAACATTAGATAAACCGGTATCTTTTGGCCACACCAGGTCTCCCAGCTTTGTCATATGAGGAGATTGGACTCACAGGATCTGCCTTTTCTGAGTCCGCATTGGACTTCCTATAGGATATTGTTTCTATCTATTCTCTCATTTGTTCATTTAACAGTCCTATTACCTTCGACGGTATTGAGAATGATGCGATAGGTCTGTAACAAGTCGAATCTTTTCTATCGCCTTAATGAATATTGTAGAGAGTGGACTGCTTACATTCTCTTGGCAGTTGGTGTAAATTTAGTGGACTTGTGCGGAGACCTGTCTATTCCGGGAAACTATCAAACTAAGATACGACCTAAACCGTACACAACATGAAAGTCTCGTTAGCGGATAGATTCAACTCCCAACTGGATTAGAAACAACCCTATCAAATTTAACCGTTCAGTATTACCAGAATTCACAATAATAAAGACTCAAAACGAAGAACGTATAACTACATATACACACCTAAGTTAATATATGTTGAATAAAGTGATATTTGAATATGATAAATTGTACATTAAATCATTATTAAGGGAGGATAGATAAATAACGTATCATTTAAAAAAGATAGACAGATACAAACACAATTTATTTAACACGCTTCCGTTGTCTCTCTGTTTGAGGCTGTTTATTTTCGTCGCGAACTCGTAGAGGTACATGCCGAGACACAGTTGAAACACCGTCTACAAATTTTGTTTTGAATAGTACATTAGCATTGTTGAACATTCCATCCTTGAGTGACACTACAATGAACTAGATCCGAAGGGAGCATAAAAATAACGGAGTAACTAAACTAAGTACTGTGAAGTTTCTAAATACGAGTTATATAAAAAATGCAACGTATTTACATAACTACACAAATAATTTCTATTACGATACGCGTAAAATAATACTAACAATACCGTGATGAACACATAAACATAACAATCGCTATATTTTGTATTGGGTGATCCTACACATCCTTCATTTCAAACGCTGCTTGCTAAGGCCGATCTACTTAAAATTAACAGGCTGCAAAATTAGAATCTTGCTCCAATTACATAGATTCGTGCAAATTATCTGCTGAGAAGAAAAGGGTTTATATATCTATATAATTTGGGGCAGATTAGCATAATTCTGAAATAATCTGGGAGCAGCCATCAAGGAAACATACTATCCTGCTAGACTGAAAAAGCTAAATCCCCGACTCCATATAAGATTAAACATCGTGCGAACGACTATGTCACATTCCACAGTATTCACTTATTTACATATTTATATAGACACACAAACAAAGTGATCAAGGGTTACGAAGCACGTGCTCAAACGGTTTCAGAGTGACTCAATATCAAATACTCAGAAATACATAGAAAGCAGAAAACCAAATTCATTGACAACAAAACATATAAACACGATGGGTCATAGAATTGACCTTAATACAACTTCTAGGACGTTCTACAAGAACTGTCAAGGACGAAATCTTAGACTTATAGAACCCCTAGCTATTCGGACATCCAAATGCCCTTCATGAATACTGGAAAATATATTACAAACACGAGACAGCATTGTTATCCATTACGCAAATTACGAGCTAGGGTGATGTGACAATTTTCTATCCTTCCCATGATAAGTTAATTTTTTCGCGCTTATTTACGACTACTGCTTTGTTTTCGTTCGACATCTTATTCAATTAACCTTTATTAGTTTTTATGAATGCTGTGACAACCATATATGTGACCGGATTGTTCGAAATATATAACATTTTTCAGATTAATTCTGTACTGCGATAGCCCTGTTAAGAAGAAATAATTATGAACTTTTATTGCAAGCGTCTCAACTTGAAACAGAGACACGTCAACTGTCAAACAAAATGTGTAAGTTACGTAAAGACCATAATAAATTTACACATTGCCAGTCAGCCAAGGGAAAATATTGCATAAAACAATGCGTATAAGCTAAATGTTCATACTTTTCTAATTTATTATGTGAGTATTAAAAAAGAAACGACTTGCAATTTTCACTGATAGGAAGAATGGCCTATCTGTCAAATCTATTTGTACATCGATAATCCTTTCTTCCTTATTCGAATATTTCTGTATATTACATCATACCACTTATTTAAACAGTAAACAATTTCAAGATCCATCGATTCGAACATACAGTACGCAAAACGGATTGGCCATCGTATGTTACTGCTTAGCGCTTGCATGAACCTGTGTCATTCTGTTTACTTATCATTCTGACCGCAACTTTTTAATAATTTTGGTAGTCACTAACAATTTTTTCTGGTGCATTTATCGAATTTTTGTCTCGGCGTAGCGGCTTCCAATTATTTAGATCTTAATGTCTGCTTCAGATGTTGACAGCTTGAGAATTAGGACACAGCTATGTACTGATGTTGACATTAGTGTATGTTTATAAATAATCATTATAAACCCCTTAAAAGGCATCTCTCTTTATGGCTGAATACATCGACGTCTCAGAAATATAGGTATGTTGATATTTAGTATATATTTTTGCACCCTTCTTCAGATAACCACTGCATTTGGGTTTTCAGTTTGACAAGTCAGTTAGTCATTGGGTTAAAGAGCTTAGGTATAATCCACAATGTAATCATGTAATAATTTACAGAAACAATTGTTGCAAACGGAAAAAAGAGAATTTTCAATATACCCACCTGTGAATGCTTAAAATGATTTTTAATCAACTGACCAATATTTTGTGTATGAGATAAATCGAGCGCCGCATCCACTTCATCTAATATATACAGAGGTGCAGGTTTGAAGAGTAATAAAGCCAGAATAAGTGAAAGGGCAGCTAACGACCTACGAACAAGATAAAATAATAAAACACACAGAATAAACTGTCACAAAAGCAAAGAATAGAAATAAAGGATGATATATGTACATATGTAGGAATTAAGTCCACAAAAAGTGAGTAAAAGGACAGGTGGCACCTATACATCTTGCAGAAACACTATTTTCCAGAGGTGAAAAAATACACCATTTATATACAGACACTAAATGTTAGCTTAAAAAAGGTAGAAATTTATATCTTCATTAATAAGTTTTTATCCAGGTTAGCTGATCCCTGTTGAATTTCGAGTAATTTGTTTACGACCAGTGTGAGGAGTATTTAAATATACCTATCGATAGATAACTAAGAGAGTTCATATATCTGTTTCATGACTAAAAAATCTGAATACGTATTTAAAAAATAAGGTAAACAAAACAAACACAACTGAATATTCACAGACGAGTTCATATAGTTTGTGAAAAGAAACAACGAAGAACGGCAAAAACTATTTGTTTAAAACAATGCCTTGTTTAATTCAAAGTTTAAGAAATACTAAAATTTATTTTTGTGCCTGCCCTATCCTATAAACAATCAGCTTTCGTTTACAATGTATAAATTACTGTCGTATTCTTTCCTATCTGTAATTTAAACATGATCCATCCATTCCTTTTTTTCGAACCTAATGTCCTATAGTCTGGATATAATTTTATTTTTATCACTTTTTGTGAGTTGTGATTCTGCTGACCATCTGTTTATTCATCTGTCTCTTGTTAAGTTGGTTGGGTCAGGAATAAATTAGATATACAGTTCAAGCTAAGTCATCTCTCTCCTCGTGAAAATCTATCTGGTCAGTGATAGGGTAGTTTCATCTCTTTGACCTTAAGACTGTTTACTCACAAATCGGACTCACAGATTGCAGGCCTCAAAGTTGTACTAGGTAACCTATCACGTCAAGGTTGGAAACCAGATCAAGACAACCCTCTCTCCCCTTGGATATTAGGAGTAGACTAGTGAGGCGGACGAAACAAAGGTATAACAATACAATGTTTTGCAAGAGAATTTAATAACGCTGAACTGAACTTTGGAAATCATGTATGCATCATGATTTTGAAATTAATACACAAATTCTAATAATAGCCACTGAATATAAAAGGACTTTAATGATCAATTCAATCTTCTAAATGATATTTGACTATTACATATTGGTGTTTAAGCACAACATAAAACTGTAGTGTATGCTACTTAGGTTGACAGATATAAGTAGTATGTAGCAGCAATTGGAAGTGGAATGCCGAGCAGCAGAAGATTGAAATGAAGAGAACAGGAAGGAAATCAGAGACCAATCATAATACCAACAGAATCAGGGGGATAATGGCGTATGTAAAGAGCAACACATTGGACTTAAAAAAGGCAAATGATGGTAACAGTAGGTTGATCGATAAAAACATTTCGGAATTCTGATGGAATTTAGAAACAGTGAGGAAAAATCCGAATACCTGGAAAATTAAATATTAGTTGATATTTCCCAAAATATCAATGTGACTAAAAATAAATTGATACCTTTGACCACCACTTAATTCTCCAAGTGATTCTTTCCAAACATCACCAAATGCAACTTTAATTTCTAATCCATCAAGAACACTCATACCTTCCGGGGGAAATAAACGTGCTTTACTTCCTGGCAACAGAGTTCCGAAAATGTTACAGAATTCCTAAATCGTGAGAAATAACAAACAGTGAAGTGCAAACGTAAATAAGTGACCGAAAGAAACTCAAAAAAGCATATTTGCGAAATTTACTAACGAAATTATTAAAACATTGGACTATTTTACTCCCTACAGCCAGATTGTGGATTGTAATCCAGAGAAATTCAATTGTATTTGAATCGAGAAAAACACAAATATATCCTAATTTTGACCCAGAGCGTTAAATGCAGTACGAAGTACGGTGAGACTGTAATTCATGGACGACCTTCGAGCGACGCCAGAGTGACCTTGAGAAAAGTCACCTGCTTGAACTGATCATTTTTGTGTTTATCAATGCTGACAGCCAACTGTTGTCGAGGTCTTTATCAATTTGGATGTGAGTCACCTTTAATCTAAGCTAAATATTACTTGATATATGATCAGTTAATATTTATACATATTTGTATATCAATATTTCGAGAATAAATAAATATATTATTTTTATTTATAACAATCAACCCAATGCTCAATTTATTCGAAATTATCAAATCAAACCTTGGTAATGACACCTACAATATTTCGAGAAGTTAGAACAGTCTTTTTACTTTAATCGAGTTTATGTGGATTATTCCGACCAATCTAAAAATAGTGCGACAATTATTATAAAAGTCTCTACATATGACTTAGTTTACAACAAACTATCACATTAAATTAATATTAACCAAATATATTATACATTTATCAAATATAATTTAGTATGCACATTATATTTACAAAATTCAGTCATTCAATCAGCCATATCCAACGTAGAACCTGGTGCGTATGTACATCGGTTCAGGTTGTCACACCCATTCAGCACAATGAAATAAAACTTTCAGGATAGATCACTGAGTGGTAGAGATGGTAACGTTATAAGTGGTTATAAAAAAGATTAGAACTCAAAGATACAATTCGAGAATAAAATATAAACTAGTGTAATAAGGATTTTTAAAAATTGCGAGGTGTTTAGAATATTAGGATCCATGAGACGGTAAAGAGTGAATGAACCAGGGTTGTTGAAAATAATATTGAACCATTTTACTCAAATTCTAACCACTGTTTACCATAATCACACTCATATAGTCTCTACCTGCCTACGTGGCTCAGGTTAACAGTCCGTGTCTTCATGGACTGGTACCATTTATTTATTTGGCCATCCCTATCTTTCTTCGAACTAACTCCGACATCAGCGTTTATCGAGCACCGAGGTAGGCGGTTGTTGGATACACATAATACAAGTCTTATCCATGTAAGTCGATAAATACTCAGTATCTCATCATTCGGTTCGCCATCGTTACCTAGTACTGTGAGTCTAACCTCAGAATTCCTAACTCGATTATCCCAACATATAAGAGTAATCCATTGAAGATATCTACGATCAAAGGCTATTTTTCACAGCCATAAAGTAGGACGGGGTGAACTCATTCTCTAATTGGAAGATAGATACCTCACCTATGCCACAAGTGGCGTACGTTGGCAAAGCCGACAGAACCTTCGGAATCCATGCCGAAATTCCGTCAAAAACCAACCCATCAGGGCTGATAAGACTCCCAAGTTAAGTGAAATGGTCGACACACTCAACTGTTTTACTGTCTAGCATTAGTTCAAGTGAAGACGCAGACTGGTTCCGAAGAAACACTTTGTACTTAGGGAAAAAACCTATAAAATTGAATTGCAATAGCATAACATGGAAATCACACTAACCTCATTGACTTTATTATGTGCACTTATTAAGACTTCTTCTTTTCGTTTATCTAAATCGTCAATAACTGCTTGAATTTTACGTTTATCAGCTAAAACAATTTCTTGACGTCTAATCAATTCAGAATATTGTTTTTCAGCATTACCAAGCATATTCATCGCACGCATATTTACAGTTCGACCAAGACGATCACGACGTTCTTTCAGTGAATGAATTCGTCGACGTGTTTCAATGGGATCACGTGAAGTAAAACAATATGGGCCATTTTCAACACCAAAATTTTGTTTTTCTTCATGAATCCATGGATATGCTTCTAAGAGTCGTTCCATCTATTAAAATAAAATAATGTCCATTACACAAATTATTTCCTACAGTGTAACTACGTAAATACTGAAATATTAGTTGTCACAGAGTTCACATGTCAACGACTAAATTGTTCAGATAATCAGCAGTTTTAGTAATAATTAGTATTTTGTAATATACAATTTTTCGAATCTATCAGTCAATTATTATAAACGTAGAGCCTGGCACAGATGTGCGTTGGAACAAGGTGCTATTACCATGTCAACGCAACAACATAAAAATAGCAATGAATAGGAAAACAGATCGAAATAATGTATTGGTAATAATCAAGATAAAAGTCCAGTATTGAGAATATAATTCGAAAAAACAATGAAAAGGTATAATATGAAGGAAAACTGGATTTCCAAATAAAAGAAAAGATAAAGTGAGAGTGTATCTGTGATAATGTGGATGATTCTGAGCGATGTCGCCCAGTCTTCAACCACTGATGGTGGTTATTGAGCAGACCTACCTAAACAGCTAGAATGAACATACCAAGATGACCTAGATCAGTAGTTAGTGAGAAATACATGAACTGATGTTAATCATCCAAGTAACATGACTTTGTCAAGCATACGTATCACAGGATGTTGATGGCTTTTCATATAATTTGTTTTTCGAGTATTATCTCCTAGATAAACTTCCTTAAATAATTATAGGTATTGTACTTAAAAAAAACGAAATTATTTCTGAATATAGACACAATTAAGTCTATACACGTGTTAAGAGAAAGATGGGAAAAGCAAGTGTTATATCCTAGTGAACATTAAATTATGAGTAACTTCCGAGAACTATTAATGGACTAATACTATATATATAGGGAATTTGGGAGCAATCTGGTGAACTCATTTGTTGATTTTTTTAGAGGAATTATTTGTAAATGGTGTATAATTTATAATATATAACTTCTCTTTCGATTATTCACAGTGTTTAGATGTATGATGGATAATTAAAAAAAACTAGTTATTATACAATGACAATGAAGTCAATTTTTGATGTTACTTACATTACAATAAACATTGAATCTAGCTTACTACAGCAAAATTCACTAATCTTTAATAATTTAAAATGTATGTTCTTCTTTCAGTAGTACATTAATATAATTAATGAAAAGAGTTTGAATCAAATTTTCATTTTTGAAATATCATAAATTACAGAAATCTACTTTGAGTTAATTTGAATTGATGTTGGAATTTGCTAATAACGACCTTCATCTATATCACAATTTACTGATATATAAAATAAAATTGTACAATTTAGCATTGAAACTAGACAAATGATCAGTTGAGAACCGATCACTTGAAGATTTTTAGTTCATTTAAAAGCATAACCATACAATAAATGATTAAATGACAATAAATTTATGACAGAATGTTAGTTATTCCGTAAAATAAAAAGATCTATACAAACTTACATCATGATCACTAAAACATATAACGAATATGATAGAAAAAATAAACGTACAGTTTATGGTAAAAATGGATTGTGTCTAGCGGATGATTCGAAGATACGCGTTTCATTATATTTCGGACTCGGTAACAGAATTTACACATGCATCCTAGTGTTGATCTTCAAACTGGTCACAAATACAACTTGTAAACTGATGTAGTATTGAAACAGTTCGCTTAAGATGGACATATACTGACAGAAGCTAACCAAATTCCATCTTAAACATTAATAATAGGAAAATCCAACCCTTTACATGATGCATTTATAAAAGAATAAGCTCTTAACATGTTTCACTAAAACAAACAATGAATACAACTATCGCCTAATAAAAAATACATTGACTTTAAAAACATTCCGAAAACCAAATAACTGAGCTCCACTGGTATTTAATGATACCCTAACTAAGAGCAGTTAGTAACGTCAACTAGAAAATCCAAAATTCTCCTATATATTTATTAGTTCCTTAGTTTTAATGAGAAGTTGTAACCAATAGGATTCGGGCATGTTAATAGTAAGGCAGCTATCTGACGAAAACGTGGGATGATAGTTGCACGATATTACGAATGGATGGGAGTAAAACATGCAAACCACCAAGTGACAACTTAGTTGTTCGGAGTTTGCGAGCAAAATCCTTAGATTTTGCTTGGGTTCAATGCACGGTAGTGGAGTGGTAGATATGCACTGCCTGACGAGTCTCATGATGGGATGAAACACATACCAAGCCCTTCCTGACTTTCAATGGCTATTTAAATGACATTGATTTGTGAGGGTAACTATGAAATAAATAATTAAAGAGAAATTAAACATATTCAAGCAGGTACAGAAGCATTGATAAAAAATTGTAAGAACTCACTAAAAAAACGAAAAGATACCCTTATTGTGTATGACAAAAGAATTAAAATACAATATGAAAATTAATTACCTTGATATCGGCTTCTTCACTTTCCTTAGTTTGCATTTCAATTTGATGAGAAAGTTTATCCACTTGACTGTTTGTTTGATTCAACGATTGAACTAATTGACCAGCTTCTTTCTCTGCAGATGTCAATGCACGAACAGTTTCATCAATTAATCCTCGTTGTTTATTAACAGCTTCACGTGCTTTAATTAAAGCTTCTTTAGCTAATCGTGATGCATCAATACAACGTTCTTCTTCTGCCTGTGCATCTCCTACAGCTTGAATTGCTTCTTCAAGAGACAGCTTAATAATGAGTATACACAAAAGAAATAAGTATTTAAGGTAAATTAACAACATGCTTTATGTTAAAATCGGTTATCACATTCAAGCAATTCAATATTGTGAGTTGTTTCCTTACTTTCAAAGATCATTATGGTGAAATCTGATATATTACAGCTGGTAAAAATGACAATAAATGTTGGTAAATCATAAATGTTTCGTATAAAACTATACAATCTCTCTTTAAAGCTATCTCAATGTAATGTTAAACATCTTAAAGTTTAAACACATATAAACAAGTGGTTTGGTCAAAACTACTCGATTGATATAGACATAAGTGGTATGCCAATATATTAGCGTTGTAAACTTGTGAACACGTTATGAATGGTATGCTTCTTACAATTATTTATCAAGTATATTACAGCATAATGCACTCAACTCCAGGCCACATTGTTTGTTTGAGGGTCAGTGATGATACTACCTGATTGTATTTGCTAAAATAAACGGATAATATTTCAAATATATAACTAATAAGTTGAAGACTGAGTAGTTTACCTACCTAATCACAGCTTAAAATTACATCTTAACCACTGCTTTGTGGTGGCTTAGTGGTTAGAGTGTTCGACCTTAAGCGATTAAGTCTCAGGTTCGAGCCCCACCCCGTCTACTTCACTGGGTAACAAGGTTGTATCATTAGCACTAAATCTAACTTATATCCAATTACCTGAAGAATCAAATCTAAGTTAGAATAGATAACACTATCAAACCTTACTTGAAAGTAAACCTAAATAACACGATCTCAATGATACCATAGAAATAACCCATACTACTACTGGTTCATAATAGTGAATGGTATTACAACTGCATTTCAACCGATGAATTTACTTTCGAAACCTTGATAACTATAGCAACGCTTCAGACATTTGACTTAAGAGTTTGAAAGTCAGGTCAATAAATGACTGAACAGCACAACTCAGTCAGCTACAACGTAGGACCAGGTACATATATGCATCGGTCCAAGTTGACATACCTCATTAACACAAGATGGACATCGGATTCATAAAAGTAGTTAATTCAGAGGTGGTAATATATAAAAGAAAGATTGCAATAAGAATATAGTACAGGAAGAAAGAATCAGTTAAGAAAGTCGACCACACTTGAATTGTTACTAAACATAGATGGATACATAGTTTTCCATCTTATCGAGATATTAAAACAAAAACATACTATAAAGATAGTGTTAACATAAACTGTTTACTTTATTAAAGGGTAGAACAATTACAAAACAATAACATAATATGTTATGGTAGGTAATTTACAATGAAGTAATTATACATTATATTAAGTACCACAATCTTGATTACATGATTTTCTTCAAAATCACAGTCGACCCTAGAGATGTGACAGTCAAGACAGAAGGAATATATTGTAACATTTAGGATTTACTCCGCTGATACAAATTTTGTATATTGAAGATCTTTTTAAGCAAAGATGAATGGTGGCTAGCAGTGAAATCCAGGACGCGCGTTTCATCCCATTTGGGAAGATACAAGCAAAACAACACCACGTGAATCTAAACTTCACCCAATTGCACAAGCATGTGGCTATCAGGACTCAGTAGTTAATTGGATAACGCGATGGCGTTTGAAGCGAATGGTAATGGGTTTGAGTCCCGGATTGAACACCAACTCTGCGACGCAGGTACATTGAGCTGACGAGTGCCAAACAGGACGAAACGCGTGTCCTGGATTCCACTGCTAACCACTACCCATCTTTGCTTAAAAAGCTTGTGACTTAAGGCTATATCGAGGCAATCCGCACAGGATGCACATATGCCAACATGAGACTGATGAATTACAGTCTCAAATAACAATGGGAAGATACAAGTAAAACAACACCGAATGAATTGAAGATCTGTAGTAGAAATATTTTTTAGCATAACGAAATCCAAAAAGGTGTAAGAGATATTCGAAAATACAAAACGTCTTTGTATTAAGTACGACACACAGAGATACTATTAGTATTATGTCAGTCAGTCAGTTACAGAGTGGAACCAGGCACATATATGCAATGGTCTAAGCTGCCAAACCTTATTAGCACAACAAAATGAACACTGAATTCATAGATTTCATATAAGGACTTGATACATGGAGAAAGAATTGGTTTATAGAAAGAAAGGTATACAGTAAATTTAATCTCACGGTTTAAGGGAAGACAAAGTGTATACACCTACGCCATTGTGATCGATTCTGAGCCTAGAGTCGCCTAGAGTCTCCAACCACTGGGTACGATAGTCGTGCGGACCCCAATCAAGTAGTTTGAATCTATCAGCATGGCTCAGACTAGAAGTTGGTGACTTTATGGACGGATGCCACGTTTTGGTTTGGTCGCCCAAAACTTTTTTCCATACGTCTCCAATACTAGTAACCATTGCATGCCGTGCTAGTCGGTGGTTGGACATGTGTAATACGTGGCGCAACCATCTCAGTCGATGAAGATTCACAACCTCACCAGCTGATTTACCATCCTTCCCTAATAACTTGTGTCCAACCTCATTATCGCTTATACGGTGATCCCAACAGATGACAGCAATATTTGTAAGATATGCGATCAAATAATAGTAACTTAAAAGTATCCTCTACTCTTAGTGGCCACGTTTCGCAGCCGTAAAGTAAAATAGAACGAACTGCCGCACAGTATACTCGACTGTTAATTGATAGACGGATATCTCGCCTTCGCCATAGGTGACGTAAGTTGACAAAAGCCAAACGAGCTTTCTGAATCCGTATAGAGATTTAGTCAGACACCAACCTATTAGGGCTAATCAGATTTCCTAGATAAGTGTTGTCGACGAGCTCGACTACCTCACTCCAGTTCAGGTGTTGACGCAGCCCAGTCCTAAAGTAATAATTTGCATTTAGAGGGGGAGAAACGCATCCCAAACATCCTGGTATTGTTGCTCAGTGCTACCAACAGACTGCATTTTATCAGTGTCTCCACCAAACAGGACTGTGTCATCTGAGTATTCTAAATCAATAAGTGGACCTTCTGGTAGGAAATCAATGCCCGAAAATTCAGATGATGAGAATGTTATTTCCAGTAGTAGGTCTATGATGAAACTAAACAAAATTGGAAATAGTGTACATCCTTGCCAGACAGCACTTGAGGTTGCAAACCGAGATCAGAATTCGCCATGAGCTCTGACTTGACTGGTAGTGTTCGAGTTAAGAGCCCTCACATGGTTTATGCACCTCTGAGGTACGCCTTTCAATGACAGACACTGTCACAGAACGTCTCGGTTTACGAAGTCAAACATAATGATTAGTTCATTTTGTATTGTTTATTTGAATCTTTTCATTGATGTTTAGGATTGCAATTGCTTAGTCTCTTATTGGCATAAGTGTATCCTGTATGAATTGCCTCGATATTGCCTTAATTCACAGGCATTATAAGCAAAGATGGATGGTGGCCATCAGTGGAATTCAAGACGCGTCAGCTGGATGTACCTGCACCCTAAGGTTGATGTCTACTTCGGGAATCAAACCCAGTATTGTTCGCTTCAAACTCCACCGCGCTATCCATCAATACGAAAATGAATTAAACGTCATCACACTGCACAAGCTAGTGGCTATCTGAACTTAGTAGCTAAGTGGGTAACGCGATAGCGTTTGAAGCGAACGGTAATGGGTTTGAGTCCCGAATTAGACATCAACCCTAGGGTGCAGGTACATCCAGCTGAAAAGTCCCAAATACGACGGAACGAGCGTCTTAAATTCCGCTGCTAGCCACCATCCATCTTTGCTTATAGTGACTAGTATCATGTTTATTGACATGATGCGAATTCCCACATATAGATTTGTGCACTTGGCTTTGAATCAAACCCTGTGTGATGGCTATGGAAATACTCAGGTCGCCAAATTGAAATAGATGGGGTAGGACACGAATCTACGATATAGTGGTTGAATGTCTACAATATATATCATAACGTTGCTTATATAAGTTAAGAAAATCTGATGCATGTGATTATTTAACCGAGAAACAAAGTTACCTTTAAAGTATTTAGTTCTTTTGACAGTTCTTCAGCTTCTAAGCGTAAAGTTTCTTTTAGAGAATTCTTCTCCCTTAAAGCACTAACCGTGGATTCCAGTTGAACTTTAGCTTCTGAAAGTGCATTTTCAGCTTCCTGTTCTTCTTTTTTAAATTCAGCTACGGCGTTTGCTGCTTTCTCATGAGCTAACTTAGCTTTTAAAGATACTTGAGTAAGACGCTGTTCAGCGTTTTGTAAAGAATCTTCGACTTGTTCTACACAAAACGAATAGATTTATGTAAGTCAAAAAGTGCACATCTATTAAATTAATTCTCCTAGAAATAAACGCTACCTAATGGATTTCAACAAGGGAATAGAGAAAATTCATAAAAACGAACATGATTCCAGTGATGGTATCTTTCAAAACAAAGAAGGAGGGAATCACGATGAACGCCATCCAGTATGATGCACCCACTAATGATAGCAACAACGACAATAAGGATAAGTTCTATGAGAGGTTGCAATCAACCATAGCGGAGTGCCCAAGAAAGGATCTCACAATCGTGATGGGAGACCTAAACGCCACAGTCGGAATGGACAACACGGGATATGAAGATATCGTAGGACGACATGAACTAGGAGAAAGGAACGAGAATGGTGAGAGATTTGCAAACCTATGTGCATTCAACAAATTGGTTATAGGTGGCACAATATTCCCACACAAAGCTACGTGGATCTCACCGGATCACACTACGGAGAACCAGATAGATCATACTTGTATCACAGTGCACAGTATAAAATATCATAAACTGAACAAAAACTGGTGTGGTATTACATAATGGAACAACCAACATGCTCTTATATCTTATATCCTAACTTATGAACGAAATAAAAATTTCCTTGAAGAAAACATGTATCAAATGTCAGTAGTATTTCGATTACCACTGAAACGATGAAAACTCACTTAATTCAGTTCTAGTAGCTGCCAAGTCTGCACGTAATCGATGTTTATCTGTCTGCCTTATTTGAGTCTCTAAAAGTTCTAATTGATGGCGAGCATTATCTAACGCTTCTCGAAGATGACTAATATTTTGGGATCGTAATTGAGCTGCTCTGACATTTGCTTCACCTTGAGTAACATTTTCTTCAGCTTTTTGAGCGGCAACCTCAAGATCACGCCACTTAAATATACGAGATAATAAACTATCCGAAGCAGTTCCCCGACTTCCACCGGACAGTGTGCCCTAAAATATGACAGAAAAGAGCATTAGTGAAAAGTATCTTTAAATAATTCAGCTGACGAATATGCAGTACTTAAATTCTTCAAATGAATATACTGAATTTATCGTACAGTATTGTAAAAAGCTGATAATGATGAATAAACTTCAGTGAAAAACTACATCATCCCCTTAAACATATATACAATAATAAAATAATATGGTTGAATAATATCGCCATTTGAATGAAAGTAGAGGAGTAGACCATTGAGTGCCGGCTCAATAGTCTACAGTGGATGCAAGCTGCTGAAATGTTCTACATTAGAATGGAATAGTTCTTCATAGCTTCCTAGTTTTCACTGATTGCCTAATTAAGGTCAGTTTCCGATGTCGATTGTAAAATAACATGAAATAAAACCTCTGTATCTTGGAAAACATAGTTAATTCATTGACAACAATTTAACTGACGGAAACACGTCTAACACAAAAGATTTGACGGTCAAGTCAACAGTTTCAAATCTACATACCAAAAACTAATAGAGGCCCCTACATGATATATCAAACGTGTTAAGAACGAAGAATTTGTTATCATTACTATCTTCTGCATGATACTAATTTTTTACGTACAGATTAATGCATTTGATTTAAAGACATACCTTAAGCAGGGAAGCTAATGATGCTATTCGTCCACTCAAACGAAAGTAGGTAGAGTGGAGTTCGAATAGACAACTTCCTGGCCGAGAGTCAAACACTTTACCCATTATCCCACCCCTTCACACTATGAACAAGTTCACAAGTAAAGAAGCAATGATCAAACTCACTTTTTTCTAAAAGAAAAATAAAGATGATTACCTGAGGATCAAATACATCACCTTCTAATGTTATTGTTTTCTTTTCAATACCAGGGTGAAATGCAACACGCCTAGCTATTTCCATATCTGGACATATTAATACACTACCGAATACATATTCCATAACTGGTTTAAGCATATTATCATATTCAATTAATGAAAGAGCAGTGACAACATTTGATGCACCAACTAATGACTGGGCATTTTTAATAACACCATCTGATATGGGATTTCCACGTATTTGAGTTAACGGAAGCATAGTGACACGTCGACGAATTTGACCACGTTCTAATAAAATTTTACCAGTGACTTCTGTGTCTACAACAATGTTCTGTAACTAAAATCAGAAAATGTTAAAAAAAGTAATTAAAAGGACATAAATTTTACAATACGATAATCATAGTAGGAAAACAGAAAATGTCTAACAGAAGTCAATAACCATATATAGGTTTTTCTGTTAGTTTATGTAAGAAACATATCTAAACTTCAGTGGTTAATAAGATTATGCTTGTTTTATTAATATATATTGTGTCGATATGTGACTTAACAGTAGACAAATAAATAGAAAAAGATAATATTATATTTCCTAATAACAAGAAAGATTGATTTAGCTAAGTGATTCCGACATTTATCATATTATTATCTATATATTTGTAGATAAAACAAATGGCTTCTGTAATCGGGGACATTAGTGAAAAGTGGTCCGACACCAAAGGAAATCATGATTGTCATTTACATTCACTTCCTTTATGTAGCCAATGAATTCAAAGGTTATGTGTGAGGAATACAGGAAAAATACTTTCTTATGAGCTCCATGAGGTCTGCTAACCAAATTTCTGACGAGATAACGGGATCTAGACATGTTAAGAATTTATAGGAGACGTAATCCAAGTTTATATACTTTGAACAAACGATATAACCGTAATGTCATTGACCCTGTTAGTTTAATACGCTTGTAAATGTCTTCTTTAGTCACATAATTCTTTTTCATTCTATTAGGAAATTTAGTTGACTTCCGACCACTTCAGTCTTATTCTGTTCTCTGATATCTTTAGAAGGCTTGATGCTATTTGAAAGTACATTTATTATCTTTTTGACGTAGATTGTGCGGTCCACCGGAAATACCCTTGTAACTTTGTTTGGACGTGTTATTGAGAGATCTTGATTGTTTCTGAGTAGTTTGAGTTTTTTATGGTATTTTGTTAGGAGACTTCTAAATGCTAACTTAGTGTTTAAATATTGATTGCAGCTTTCAATGGTAGATTGAAAGTAATAAACTTCTCGGTGGGATACTGGGTTAGGAATGTTATTGTATTTGATAAGGTTGTCAAATTAAAAATGTGTGTGAATTTTGTTAATTTTGTGACTTATGTCGCAGAATTTTGTTTCCGTATATAGAACTCCCAGCAACAGAATTGATGAGAACATTGGAAAATAATTGAATAAGCATCTCTCATGATTATTTGGGAATTTATGTTGTCTCTGTAGCTGTCAAACTCTCATTGCGATTCAAAGTTAAGGTTCGTGTACGTTTATCAGTAACCGTAAGAACATATTTCCGACCGTTATGGCTACCTTGATGTAGTGGTCGGGCTTGCCTATCGTGATGAACCAATCGGGGTATACTGGCTGGGACAATTGTTCCTCAAGGTCCTACCATGCAATGCAAGTCAGTTGAAGAGTGGTAAGACTAGAAGTAGCAAACCCAAGATCCGAAGGAAAAGCCAAACTTCCGACTGTACAAAGGTGTGACGGTAGTAGGGATATGAGTATTGCTTGACCAGACAGAATCTTTAACAACCTATAAAGTTAATATTAATTATTTTATTCTCTTTTATCTCCCCTTCATCTTTTAATTTTTTACCATTGTTAGCATTATGATTTCTATCAGATTGCTCCGATTCCTATTGAATCACTGTAACTGATCTGACACGTGGTTATCAGAATTTATATAAAACGGTACTAGTTATTATTGTTATTTTTAAATAAAACTGTGCTGCATACAACTGAAACGAGAGAAATGATAAGCTTAACGTTAGGCATGGTTCAGAGGTAAAATTAATTCCCTTAAGACTTATAAATAAATACCAACAAACAGTGGCATTATTATACGCATACAATTAACATAAACCAATAAATCGTTCTAATTTCACCATTCAAAACTATGAATATAAAACATCTGATGTAAGTTAGTCAGAGGTGAACATCAATTAACATAAGAGATTACCTTATTTCCAGCTATCACTTCTAGAGCAACCGCATATTTTAAATCTTTGACACGAAACAATTTCGCAACAGGTCCGAGAACACGACGTCTATCAAAATTTGGCTCTGGATCAGTATAATCAAACACAAGTTGAGGGAATTGAGATGATAACTTTGAAGCTTGATGACGTAACTCGCTTGCTTCCTTAACTAAGCCAAGCTGCTTCTCTGTGAATAAAAAAATATACACAACTAGGTAGAGATACTGGGAACATCCTACCATGATAAGCGGTGGTCTAGTGGTTAAGACGATCGACTTTCAGCGACTAATTCGTGGATTTGAACCCCACTCCACCTATTTTAGTTTGAGTAATCAGATAATATCAGTAGTTGCCACATCCAGAGTGTGGCGCAAAGCCAAGTACATTAATCTTTACCTGGCAAATAAATTGAGTAACTAATTGGATGATAAGCAGCTCGAAATGAAAACTAAAGCCAACATATGTTGTTTTTGAATGACATTCATTTTTTATTTCAATAAAATACCTCGAAACATATTCAAAAGTCACAAGAAAATTCTCTCAAACATTCAACAGTTTTTAAAATCAGTTGGCTGTATTTAAGATGGATTAGTTGATAACAGACTAACATACTATCATTAGCACTGCTCTTTTCTATATCAACAAACTAATATTTTTATCCGATTGTATAATACAAAAAAACTACTAGCAAAAATGTTACTGAGATTCGGATTAATCGCTGCTTAAAGAGTTGTGTTCAGTTTGTGCTCCCTACAGATGTACCTACCAACTTTATTCTAATGACTAAAACAAGAAGGCTGGATCCATCGATAAAACAACTGATACTTTAAGAATCTCAGATCTGTTTTGAGGAGACATAATTCTGATTAATCCCAGACATAAAATACATTGCCCTACTTGATAGTTATCGGCATTTGGTCACAAAAGTTCGTACGGTAATTAGAAGTAGCTATCGACAACTAATAGAAAATCACAACTTACAGAACATGCCTGGATTTCATCTGTTACCGCCTACACTTTAATAACTGCGGAATGTACAGTTGGAGAGCCTTTGCATACTTAATTAAAGATAAATGTGGCCGATGTATGTCTATGAAGAAATAAGGCGGTTAGTTCACAAAGCATTACAATCATACTTATCCTAACTTTCTGTGGGTATCACTTACAATCTAATTTAAAGATAGCAGTACAAACAATGCCCTAGTACGGCTGAAGGCAGGGACAGTCCGCTCTCCCTCTTCAAATGCTCTCATATGGACACGTGTATATAACCACTGTCAGAGAAGTCCTACTCACTGCCTTCTCACGGCGGTCTTGTTTACGAAATTGAGAGGACGAAAAGCGAATATCCGACACTTTAACCGGGTTGGTTGATATGGAAGATCCATCTATGGGAATTGGAAAACCGTGATTCCAAACTAACGGTGCATATGGGCTTCAGGATCCTGAAGGAACAAATGGCGTGTGAACACTATTGTTAGTCATCGACTACCATGGGACTGCATCTCTTAACGTTGCTCCACTGCATTGTGGTTTAGACATTGTTGAGATATTCGGGAAAATATCCCAAAAATTATTCTGTTAAGTCTAACGCTATCCTTGGACTTGAGATGGTGTTATTTTCTTATTGGTCAATATTTATTTCATGTGTCATTTTCCTACTGGTCAATATTGTACAATGTTATTTGCTATTTTATGGTACGATGTGGTCTGCTTGGTTGGTGTATAAACAGAGTACGTTTGAAATATAGTGGTTCATATCTCCGAGGCTGAGACTTGCGTTCTGGACTCAACTGGCTGGGCTAGCCAAGGAAGCGGGACTAATCAGAACCCTAGGCCGTTCTTACGTGTTTGCGCGTCTTTGGCCCGATCGATAATTCGCTGGCCTCTAATCTGCCGTCACAGTTATAGCAGACATTTAGGTCAAAGGCTCCGGGTGTGGCTCCCTAAAAAAGCCATCTGCTTCGGTTCGAGCACCCGGACTAGTATCCAGACCCACGTACAAATCAAGTGACTTGTGTGGCGCATATGTATTCGGTGACGCTTTTGTACCAATGTTTGTGTGCTGAAATGATGAAATTATAAAATAGCCAGCCAGATAATATGCACACAACCTTTCGAGAAATAAAAATTTTGGCGCGGTAAATTGAACTCATTATATTAGTTTATCACACTAACAATTCAAACAACAAAATTTGGTGTAAATCACTTTTAAAAACGGAATTCAATACACATTAGTTTCATTGGAGGCACCAAATATTTTATTTTTAACACATAGATATTGGTACAAGGAGGCACCAAATACATATGCGCCACACAAATGTCATTCGATATGGGTGAGTAATGCTTCATCACTTACCACTTAACACAGATTCGCTACCAACAGACCTATCATCCGCCTCAGCTCGTGTCAATTTCTTAGTTAATTCGTCAATATGTGCAGTAAGTTCCTTTTGTTTCATTTCTTCTTTAGATTCTCCGTCTATTGACCCATGTCCGAAAGTTTTAACGACAATGGCTTCTTGTTTAGCAAGCTCATTTTGTAGATGTTTCTGACGCATTTTCAGTTGAGAAAGTTCAGTTTGTGCGGAGCACTTCTCACCATCTGCAACTCTAACCTGTTCAGCAAGGCTAGCTGCAACACCATTTTCTCCACTGGAAAGACCGGATTTTACTGCCTTTACACGTAATAAATAAAAATGTATAATATAAGTCTTTAAAAATGTATGCTGACTAATTAATTAATCTATCCGATTTACAGACTAAGTACACGACAAACCATAAGTTAGGTCCCAAAGCTTGATAAATGTATAAAAAATGGCAGAACTGGCCAGAAACGGGGTCAACTAAGAGTGGTTTGCTTGAAATTTTTGGCCATTTAATTTCCAACTTTGCAAATATTGCAGGGAATGTTTATGCTGTTTCGATGTTTTTGTCAAAACAGAATAAACTTAGTGAAAGCTGTAACTTTTGGGGCCGTTTTACGGATTATTGTTATACATATTTTTATTATATAATTGTTGAATAACTGGATTAATGTATCTCTACATTTTTTGTATTATAATTTTCCACTAGACAACTGTCGTTATACATCTTACTGCTCCTTGACCACTCCTAATTAGTTTTTAACACTTTGTTCCGCTCACTGCCATTTATGACTTGTGTGGGAAATATTTCTTATTTGGGAGATGTGGTGGTTTGATAATTCATGTATATGGACTCATATCTTTGAGTATGATGAACCAAACTGAGTGACAACAAAGATATGTCCCTGCTAACTTCGTCTTCTGATTAGACATTGAGTTGGCAAAAATTAAAGGACAAACAAGTGCTAGTTTTTTGGTCGTTAATCACTGATCGTTATCACTGTTCAGTTAGAAGACCAGTCATCCCACAGGTGGTACAAACAGACACAACGACTATCTGCTCTTATTGTAAACAATCCGATTACCTGAGGAAAACAGAGGGAAAGAAGTCTTGGAGATATAACAGTTTTAGCTGGCTACATATGTATATTAACCATCTAATGCACTGAATTGATTTTACCAAATGTATACGGATTATTGTAAAGATAATTACTGTTGAATTGAAGTGAAGATATTACGGTGGTTATTATAATTTTCTTCTCGTAAGCCCATTAGATAAACGAAAGCTGAGTGCGTTTGGATTCATGTATCGAATATACTATGTTGTGGGAAAAGATGTCGAAAAGGGCAAAGCAGATTTACGGCAAATGATGGTTCAAAAAAATTTTGAACATTATCAAGTCAAATGATCATTATACTGGAATTTATTGCAATATAATGAATTGATACTGCAAATTACTAACGGTAGCCAACAAACAAAGCAAATTTTATTACCATCAGTAAAATGACAAAAACTCAGCTTACGAAGACACTTATTAAGCTTAAACTCGACATCAACAGTCGCTGTTTATATAACCAATTCACTATTCTATTCTATTTATGGACACGATAGCTTAATCATTACAAGTGGCGACTCGCTAATGTGGAACAGTTGATTCAAATAATTTCAATGGGTACTATGACGTACTATCTGAAGTAAATGCTTACCTGTAAACGCTTTTGAGCCGCTTCAAATTTAACTTTGGCTTCTTCTGACTGTGCTAGGACGGACTGGTACTCAATACCAGCAGCAGCTTCCGCTGCTTTATGTTTAGAAGACAACTGCTCATCAAGCTCCATACACTGTGACTCCATGGACTTAACACGCTGTTTGGCGGCCCGAAGAGATTCAGACGCCCTTTGAGAAGCCCCCTTAGCAACTGCTTCTGTTTTTTGACATGCAGACATTGTAGATTCTAATTCTTCAAGTGCTGTTCCTTGATGCTTTAGATAAACGCTTTAATAAAACAGTACAGCCTACCTCATCTCTTTGTTTGCAAAGTTCAGCAATACGACTTTCTATAATTTCTTTTGACTTCCGAAGCTAAAAGACAAACGGACTAAATAGAACCAATATGGTTAAGTTACTTCTTCCATATTCTTTTTTTGCTCATCCAACGAACGTTCAAGTGTAACTAAATCTCCTTTTGTTCGTTTTTTAGCTTCCTAAAATTCAGGTGTATATTAGCCGATAACTTTGATAGTCCACTAACCTCTAAACAAGTATAGTCATAAGCGACAATAAACTTTTCCAGATGATTAATTTCACGCACAACTTTCTGATACTCTAAATAACTGCTCCGTTCTTCACGTAATTTCTTGATAGTAGGGTTAATATCTTCAGTAAGAATCTATAAAAAGCGACATAGTAGTAAGTAAAAAAAGCTCACTCTATCTATTTCTCTTAATTTACTATCTTTCTTTTCAATAGTTTTAAGTGCTGCTTCCTTTTTATTTTCATATAGTTTGGTGCTTGCTGCTTCTTCTAATAATGATAGGATCTAAAGTACATATTTAAATACTCTATAACACTTATTTGGCTTACCTCCGGTGGTTTCATATTTAAAATTTTTGTAATCCTACCTTGCATAATTAGAAAGTGAGGATTATTAACATTAAGTTGCACTGAGTGAAATAAATCATGAACCCTTGTGGTGGTTGCGTTTGTTCCGTTAATCAGATATTTATTTCTGCCTCCAACGACAATCTGCTTTGTGATTGTAAGCTCATCAAACTGCTCATAACCATATGGGGATTGTGACTTATCCATATTGTCAAATACTGCGCTTACGGTAGCCTTGTTTATTCCTGCTTGACCACATTTGTAAACCAAATCATGTAGGTTTGCTGCCCTTACCTATAATCAACTTATCAAGAAAGACAACCAACCTACATGCGATAGATTTGTTATTCCAAGTAAGAAGCATATAGCATCTAATATATTTGACTTTCCGGAGCCATTTAGACCGGTAATCGCATTGAACTGTGGATCAAATCCATCGATTTCCGTTCTCTGACAATAGGATTTGAAGCCATCAATAACCAACGACTTTATATACATTATGAAATGCAAGACACCTGGACATTCAGATAGTACGCAATCTATAAGTACATGACAAATAAATAAATGCTTAGGACAAGGAATCCGCAACAAATCATATAAATGGGCACAAATCTAGGTTAATATACTTTACACCAATGTAAGAAAAATTAAAAAGATGGAAACAAGAGCGAAAATAATAGCGGCAGTGTTTGAAACTTAAGATTTAATATTGGCTTTTAAGTATAGTTTCGACATGATTATGAAAGCACTTGTTATCAACAGTCACCAGACTTATTCAATCTGTCTAATCACCACAAGGACTAAGAGTGCTATATATTTTCCTAAATTTTATACGTAGAGTGACTGTTTAGCCTAAGACCACTGCACCTAACTACAAAGCTACGGACCTTCAGCCACTCAGAAAACAAAATTTAAACAATCGTCAAGGTGCAATGAAATAACCTTGAAATGAAGGACAAATAAATAATATATTTGTAATATCCCAATGAGTGGAAAAATTAGATTTTCTAACGTTTCGTGTCTTAGTGTAAACCACTTCTCTGAAGAAGTGACCTACACTCACTTCAGAAAATCTAATCTTTCTACTCATTGGTATATTACAAATATACTATTTATTTATAACAATCTACCCAATGGTCAATTTATTCGAAATTATCAAATCAAACCTTGGTGATGATACCTACTTGAAATGAATGGTTCAAATGGTTGTGGACGGAGTAGAAGAAGCTTTCGCTTAACGGGCGTCCGTGTCTATTACCAGTGGATCACCAATACCTCCAGGCAGTAACCTACGTATATTAACGATAACAGAAAGAAAATCGGTAAATCATAGCAAGATTTTATTCTTGCTCCTCAAGATCAGGTCAATTTTCCTCTTAAAGGACCCCTAGGAAGTCGTTTGGACTGGCTCATTCGGAAGTGAATTCCAGCATTTGACAACCCTTAAGGAGTAGAAGCGCTATCTATAATCCGTTCTGCTGTGTTGTGTCTCTAGTCTCTGGGTGTTAACCCTTAGGTCCGTGTTAGAGCTAAACTTAAGTAGGTGTTTAAGGGGATGTTCAGAGGTGTTAAGGATACTATAAGCCATTAGAGAGTCACCTCTAAGACGCCTATACTCTAATGGGTTAATGTTTAGTGTTTGGAGGCGTTCTTCATGCGGCTTGAATTTGAGTCTCCGAATTGATTTCGTGGCTTGCCGTTGGACACACTCCAGAGTGTCGTTGTCCTTTTGGAGTGAGGGAGAAAATACTATGTTTCCATATTCTAAATGGAGACAGATAAAACTACTGAAGATTATATGTAAAATTCTTCCGTCAATGGACAATGTACTCATTTCTATAGTGTTATACCAGTTATGACTTGTTTGAGGATTTAAAAGCTACTCATTATATTCCATCAATATAATCAAACGGTTTACTAGTTATTCTTTTGCACATTGCTGAAGCCGTCGGAGTCTATCTTCACAAACTAAGTCCTTGCATCTAAAAATAGTTTGTACAACCATTCACGCTACCTTGGCCATCAGTACAGAAGTGAGTCTGCAGCTGAACTTTGATGAAAGCCTTTCCTCCAAAAATATCCTAACTATTGGCCAAGTTCTTCAACTCTTGTGTTTAACATATTCTCAATATTTGTCCCTTGATTTTTACATAACTACTATGATACCGACCTTCCATCAAAATATTTTTTTGTTTTTTTCTTTTTATGTATTACGCGATGTAGAAACTGTTTGATTTTTGGAGTATTCACTTTGATTATTATCGTCCTCTTTCTTTCAATTACTCAATATTATTTTATAATTATTACGTGACGTAACTACCAATGAGTATTATTTCATTGTTGTGCAACATACATATATATTAGTGCAAAGACATGATGAAAAACCATTTGGACAGAAACGTCTTCGGTTGATCAGTTCTATTTTGTCCAAATCTCGAAATGGGATTTTTTACTTCTCATGCTGTGAGCCGTTACCAAAGGAAGAGAAAGATGCAGATCTCTCTTTAGTCTTTAAATGGATAGGTAAAAAACTGAGCTGCCAAAGGCTACTAGCGCTACTTTTGGGACCCCAGCGTCATTAGAAAATTTGGTGAATGACCAAATAAAGAGGGCTATAAATGTCTACAAACTGTTGTTTAAAGGAGTGTTTGGATAAGACGGAGCCCGCACATGAAGTATAGAACATGATGAAGAACGGCGTTAAGTGTGATAAAACTGTGGCACATTTCCTAACATTGATCGGAAAAGAAGCATATAGCTTATTTAAAACTTTTGCACAACCAGAAAAGCCTATTTCACTTCCTTATGCAAGAAACTATTATCAAATCATGTAAATTGCACCAGTTTTGAATGCCCTGATAGGGTGAAATTTCATAAGATCATTCGTCAGAATGGCCAAGATGTTAGGAAATTCATCCTTGGATTACAGAAACAAGCTGCCAAATGTAATTTTGGTAACCAACTTCATGTGCAACTAAGAGATCGATTGAGTCACCGAAACAGGACTGTTAATTCCGAGTTTAAAGAATTTGAAAAGGCTTAAAGTGGACTTGTCTTTACTAGTTTCTAAAGAAAATTCTGATGCTTTACATAAAGATTTGATAGCTGTGTGTCTTAAGTGCAGTGGGGGTATGAAAATTCAGCTTACAAAACTTCAGGTACAGGGTGATCCAGTCTTTCTTAAAAGACGAATAATTCCTTATGGTCTTCGAGAAGCAGTACATAAGACATTGAACGATTTGTGTGCAGAAGGTATAATTGAACCGATTCAGTCTCGTGCATGGGGTACTTCTATTGTTACGCCACTGAAGTCGGACGGCAAGACCCCTAGAATATGTAGTGACTATAGATTAACACTGAACTTCGGTTTGTTGAAGCAAGTGTGCACAACGGTATAGGCTGAAGATATTCTAAATCGATTTCATGGTTCTAAAGTTTTCTCGAAAGTTGACCTATGATATGCTTATCTGCAAATCCTTCCAGATCAATCTTCGTCTATTTTGACGACAATTAACACCCCTTTCGGTCTGTTCAAATACAATTTCATTCCTCCTGGCCTAATTTGTCCTCCAGTCCTTTTTCAGGAAGTTATGAATAAGGTAGTCAGTGATCTTGAAGGTGTTGAGGTTTATCAAGACGATCTCATTGTTCATGGATCTGATGATGTAGTTCATGACCAGAGACCTATTGCTTTATTGCGTCGTTTAATTGAAATGAATATAACAGTGAATCCGAATAAGTGTTTATTTTGTGTATCTAGTTTTGAATGTCTCGGATACCTAGTTGATAGTAATGGTTTTAGACCAGATATGAAGCAACTGCACCGTCTCCAAAAACTGTTACAGAACTACGTTCACTAGTGGGCGCTCTTCAATACTATTCCCGTTTCATTCCTAATTTTTCTTGTCGTGCCAACTGTTTGCTTGATATGTTGACACAGTTCATTCAAAAGGGGTGAGGAACAAGAGCCATGCTTACGAAGTCTACTAAAGTTTCTTCGAACTTACTCCCCTATTGCACATTCTGTGCTTATAACTAATGGTATATTCTTATATATATTCTGCAAAACGGCCAGCAACGAGCGATCACACAAACACAATTCAAAACATATATGTATATAATAGATATTGCCATGGAAGTTTTTTAAACATTTAATCGATAACTTAGTCAATCGACTATATGCGTGGATGGTAAGAAATAACCAAGCATACATCTGCATACAAGCTCCACACAGATAAAATTACAAAATATGAGTTTTGGGGATTTATCGTCTCCAACACTCCTCCTCTTCTTGATAGCGTGCTTTCCTGGGGTCGACTTGCATCCTGACTGTTGCTCGCCGCTGTCGGATAGGCCAACTTCTGGAACGGAGATCAGCTTGTTGTTGAGCTTCTTCTCGTGGTAGTGCCGCTGGTAAGTTGAAGGTATCAAGCAGGATGTCAAGGAGAAGATTTACTGCTGTTGGTGGGCGGTCTGATGTTATCTGCTTTCATAGTTGCTTTCGGCGTCTAGTCCACATGTCTCTTCCCACCTTTACCTCGTACATAACTTGGCCTAGTATTCCAACCACAGGTGCCTCGATCCAAGGGCAAACACCTGGCATCCAACCTCGTACTCTGGCAGCTTCTGAAATTTGGTCTATGATGGTGGTGGTGTGGTTCTTGGGCACATCAGACTGTGGATCGCCCTCAATTTTCTTCCCGTCAGGATCTCTGCCGGCTCCGACTTCATTAGAGCTCTCTTGAATGTATCCACAAATTTTTCTGCTTGGCCGTTTGACTGCAGGTGGTACGGTGAAGAGTGGAAATGCTTGATCAACAGGCATTTGCAAAATTCTTGAAATTAACTTGAGGTGTACTGCGAACCACTGTCAGATACGATTATATCCGGTAGTCCGTTGCGGGAGAACATCTCTGTCAAAAGTTGCGTCCGTTGGGTAGTCGTTGGGGGCATGACGGGAACGATTTCTGGCCATTTCGAAAGGGCGTCAACAACGACTAGATAGGTGATTCCATTAATTGGGCCTGCGAGATCGACATGTATCCTGGACCAGGGATACTCAGGCTGTGGCCATGGGACCGACAGTACTTTCGCGTTACACTTGGCCGCTTGCTGACACTGTGTGCACTTGCCTACTAAATCCACAATATGTTGGTCCATGAGGGGCCAATAAGCATAGCTTCTGGAGATGGATTTCATTCGTTTTATACCAGGTTGACCAGTGTGGAATTGCTTCAGCCCCTTTTATCTTAGGGACTCTGGCACCACTACTCTATCTCCAAACATCAAGCATTCGTTTACGACGCATAATGAGTCCCGACGGTGGTAAAGCTGCTTCAAGTCACTATTGAGTCCAGTTGGCGGTCAGCCATTGGTGACGTATTTCATCGCTTTCTTTATGATGAAGTCGTTCTTGGATGCAGATGGTATTTCAGCTGCTGAGACTGGCATGGCACGAATAGCGGTTGTCAGGTAACACTGCGCGTGGTTCTCTGTCATTTGAGAGGCAATAACTGCATCTTCGCCGGCCGTATGGTGTTTGTTGCTAAGTCGTGACAAGGCCTCAGCCTGACCAAACTGTTGGGTGTGCCGGTACTGAATGTCAAAATCATAACCCAAAAGTATCAAAGCCCATCGCTGGAGACCGTTTGCAGAATGGGCTAGAACACCAGATTTCGAACCCAAAATTGTGAAAAGAGTAAATCTTCGACCGTGCAGGAATTTGTGGAAACAACGTACTGCAAACACAGGGGCGAGAGCCTCCTTCTCTATTTGACTGTACTTTCTTTCCGCTGAAGTTAATGTGCGAGATGCATGCATAAAGGCTTTCTCTGTTGAGTCCGTGAACTGATGTGAGATGACAGCATCGAGTCCAAAAGCTGAAGCGTCTGCAGCGACAATGATAGGCATGGACGGATCGTATTGTGTCAG